TATATAATATATATATGTATATATATAAAATTAGTGGCCTGTCCATCACCATTGAAAAACAGAGATTTTGTTCTACAAAGATCATGGCTTGATACTGGAATAGAGCAATTAATTTTGAATCATTCTGTTTTTCATAAAGATTATCCACCAAGAAAGCAATTTGTACGGGCAACATCTTATCTTACAGGTAAAGTTTGAAACTTAGATTAAAGTTTATTATTTATGTAAATATTTTATCTCTTCATTATTAAAATCCTTAATTTAAGGATATATTGTAAGACCATCTCGAAATGGCGATGGTTCTGAGTTGGGTTATGTATCTCATACCGATCCACATGGAAAATTACCAGTTTGGCTAGTTAATAAAGTTACACAAATATTTGCTCCAAGAGTATGTATTTTTATTGATTATATCTAAAAATTTTTTTTATAGGAAAGTATTGAATTTACATTTTTTTGTTTTAGATGGTTAAAAAGTTACATAAAGCTTCTATAGCTTATCCTAATTGGAAATTACTTAATAATCCAAATTATAAACCTTGGCATTTTCCAGAACAAATAACATCACCACGTATAAAAATTGGAGATGTAAGTATATTTTTGTAATTTTTAATATTAATCTTTATAAAAACAAAAAAGTGTTTTATGACAAAATAAGAATTGCAAATTTGAATTCGATATATTAATTAATAAATTATTGCAGTGTGTAAAATCTGTAGAAGAAAAAAATTCAAAAAATAATTATGTTGATGAATCAGAATTAAAAGAATCTATTACAATGGATAGTGATTAACTTTCTTTAGTAACATAGACTTTTACATTATTAGCATTGAAAAACAAAATAATAGTTCATATAACACAGTATCATAGAAGTTTGTAGTATTAACAAAGTTTCATAAAATGTTATTTGCGAATGTCAATGTATATAACTATACACATATACACAACGCGCGCGCGCGTACACACATGCGCGCGCACGCATACACATTCACACATTTAAGTAAATTATATTAGTAATAATAGTATCACAATTTTTGATGTAATGAAACTTAATGCAATGAATGACAGTATGATTAATAAGAATACATTATGGCCTGACTTGTATTAAATACTAGTTATGGTTTGTCATTGAATGGAGCATCTGTATATTGTTAAGAAACATAATTTCTGACATATAATTTATGATATACAATATGCAGATTGTAATTTTAAATTTATATTTACTTGTATTTATTTATATGAATATTAGAATATTATATACTCCAATAAATTTAGGATATTATATATTCTAATGAATTTAGAATATTATATATTTTATCCTAATCTATACAATTTTTATGAGATGAAAAGTATTATTAAAGGTCTAAAAGATTTTCACATAATTTATATTAAATATATATTAAGATTATTCCAATACAGTTGGATATATAAATAATGATTATGGAAATATTAAAGAAAAGTTAGAATTTGAATACAATAATTGTAATCAAATACAATAACATTATTATCTATGTCTTAAAAAATAACGGGTTATTTTATGATATTTATAACGATTTAAAATTTTACAATTTATCTGATTGTTAACTTATTTTTTTTTATAAATGTCACTCAGCTACTTTTATTTTAATAACATAAATTTATCTTGATACATGAAATGTTTTAAATGTTATCTATTGATTATTATATATCAGCTAGTTTATTCAGACAACATGGGTAAATATTTGCATCAAGTGAAATAAATTCTTTTAACTTTGTAATATTAATTTCTCTATTTAATATTTATTTTGCTTTATGGAAAATTAAAGATTTTTTATATTTATTTACTGTAGGATGCCAAAAATAGGATTTATTGTCTTCAACGTACAGGAATTAAATATATATATGTTCCTTCTTTAATCGAAGGAATATCGGATCTGCGCGAACGGTTTGAGACACTGAAAACGGACAGAACAATATGAACAGAATAATACGAACACTAAACTCGGAAAACTAGTTTAACGCAAGAAAATAACGTTAAAATAACATAACTATAACACACGAAACACGCTCTAATTCGACTTCCTTTAACACCGAACGACTCACGCCTGTGGCGGTCACGATCTATTTCTACGAGGACCCTGTGTCGTCGAGGGTCTTGTTTTTATACTTTTTGCAAACCTCGATGGCGTGCTTTTTTCAATCGCTAATTGGCTAATATGATTCAGCCCATTAGCAATTTGCTCCTATAAAAAGAACGTCACTTTCCGGATTCGCAATTCGCTCTCCTCGACGATTACGATTTCAGCATCGGTTTCAATTTGCTTCTAGAAAAATGTCATGCATAGGTCATCGACCGGTTTATAATTTGTTTTTCTGAAATAAGAAATCCCGAAATAGTATCCTACACGATATTCATATTTATGCAATTATTTATTTTTTATAATAATAAATACACTTTGTTATTTTCTATATTTAATATCGTTTATTAAAATGTGTATATATACATACATATATACATAAATATGTATGTATTTATATACAAATTGTCAAAGTACATATTATTATTAATTATATTGTTTACAAATTTTTATAATTAATGAATACTATAATTTTTTAGAAATAAATTAATATTATACATTTTTTATAATATTTCACTTTTTATATACCTATAAATTATTTTAAATATGTACTTAGTAAAATATTTTAAGCATGAACATTTTTGCTTTAGGATTTATTAGCCTTCATATAGATAAAAATTGTTTTATGTGTATTCAGTATATTTTTTAATACATTATGAAATATAAACAAATAAATAACTAAAAATTTCACTATATATTCCTGCAGTTATTATTAGCATTTTTATCTTATATAGAGTGTCTCATGCAATTATATCAAACTGTATTTTTGAAATAATTAGAGACGGAGTGAAACATTCTAAGGCAAAATGAAATGATAGAGGAAAAAATATATTCTGGAATTCATTGCATATACTTTTTATGCATCTAGTCAAATAGAAAATGTAATGAAATAATAGTAATTCTGATAATATCAATTAATATAACTCTCCATTCTCTATAAAAAAGAATTAAAGTACTTTAATCTTGAAATTATCTTTAAAAGTTATTATAGTTTGAATTGAATATGTTTAAAAGTTATAATTATGTTATTATAATGTATCAGGATTTGTTGTATAATATTTATACTATAGCAAATATTAAATTAATTTTTCATTGCATTCTAAACACTTTTTCATTTTCTTCGTGTTGCTTAATACGGAAGTTAAATTTCTCACATATATATATATATATATCTTTTGTGTGTCACGCGCGCGTGTATATGTGTGCCTACATATACTAATAGTTTTAAGATATGATCATCTTAATATTTTTTCACAGGGAATGGAAAGTAGTATGGACTATTGTGTAGAAAAGATCTTATTGTATATGTTATGTACACAAATGCATAAAAATGCATAAAATTTATTCAAGAATATGCTTTTTCTGTGCTATTTTATTTTGCTTTATAAGATTTTATCTCTAGTAGTTTTAAAAATACATTAATAAAATCATATAGTATATTTTTAAAATCTTTACTATTTAATTATTATCTTCATAGAAAATATCTTGCAGTAAAATTTTATTTAGCCTAGATAATTTATATTCTTATATGATGTCATTCATTGTAATTTGAATGATACAACTAACTTGGTGCAAATTTAAAATATAAAAGCAATATAAAAATATGTAAATCAATTATTTATCAATTAATATTTATATATTGTTTGTATTTATCTACATAATACAATGTATATGATTAATGTAATTTATTATTAATGTAAATGTTATTTTTATCTGTTATGTGAAACTATTAATGATAAATTTCATATAATATTCTTTCATATTATAAATACATATATGCAATTAATAGAAATAAAATGTGAAAAAGTTATTGCATTTCACATAAGTATTATATTTCAATGATGTATTTCATAAAATTCATTTCATTATTATTAGTTTTATGATGAAACAAAAAATTTCTGTGTAAGTAATCATGAATGTATTGACAGTCTATCATCATCGATTTCACAATTTTATTATTATGAAAACTAATAAGTCTCAAGCATTAAATATTCATTAAATAATAAATTATGTGAAATACATCAAATCTCGCTATATTTTTGAATGTCATAAATATTTTCCATATTGATAAGTAAAATTACAACTCAAATAAGGATACTTTCATATTGATATTGAAGTTTGATGAATCATGTATTGTATGACATATAATTTGTTTAAAATGTATTAAATGAAAATAATATAAAGTTGTTAAAATTTTTAATCAAGAGGTATATATTATATTCCTTTATCCTTATAATTAATATTATATAAACACATTAGATATTCTGTAATGGAACAGATTAAACTGTTTAATGACATTAAAGTTTAAAATAAAAAAAGATCACTTACTTAATAAAAAATGTCATTGTTATTATGTACTTATTTTAATTATTACATTGTATATGATATAAAAAGACTGTACAATTTTGTTGCTTTATAAAGATTTGTTTTTAAAAATATACAAGAAATATAGATCGATTCTAAGAAGGTGCTTGAAAACCTGTACGTGTTTTTCAGAGTTTTAAACCAGTAAAAAGATTTTAATAATCATGAATTCGTAAATTCTTTGTTTTGAAAATATATCTACTTGTATATTGTATATTGGTATATTATGGTATTTAATTATCATATTCTATAACATAAAAAAACTGTCACTATAAAATAAATAAAAAATAAAAGTCACAAAGTACAAAATTGAATTATTATATGAACATTTATGCTGTGTATATACTGTAAGAAATTATTTTAAAATTTGATGCACAATTTGCTTTAAAATTATGTTTCAACATACTTTCAAAAGTAAGAAATTCATTAATATATTTTTACTGTTATCTTCCTGTTACAAATGCAATTACATTTTCCGGTTTTCTAACACCAGTTTAGAATATATAATAATCACAATATAAATTCTATATGTTATTTTAGATTTGTCGTGAATAATTACTTTTAATTAATTTGGTTTTTTAATGCTGTTAATTGTTCTATATACTCAAGATACAACCTTTGCCAACGAAGATGTCCTCCAACAACAGATAATACATCTTCTAAAAGTTTATGTTTTTTTATTCCCTATATAAAAAATAAAAATATGGTGTTATACTCAAAAATAATAATAATATACTGAAGTTATGAATAATATGTATTGAAATACTACCAAAATTAAAGGATCCCATATACTCTTAGAAGCTGATGTATGGCTTGGACCCAAAAGTTCATCTAAGATTAACCTTAGACGTTTCTCTAATCCATCTAAAAAGATACTGTTTTATGAAATATGGTGGTAAATGACTAAAAAATGAAAGATACATATATCGATACCTTGAGTTAATAAAAATGACACTAGAGCCATAAGCCAATGTATATATTCTTGTGTGCTTCCAAGAGCTTTTGAAGCAAGTAACTGTTGCTCTAAATAAGATACTACGCTTGGAGCACTATGAGGTAATCTTGGATTAGGTAAAGTATTTCCTGCTGTTCTGAATAGACCTTCCTGCAAAGAAGACAGTGGACCTCTGGGAGCTCTATTTCCAGATGCACTTGATGCATTAAATGAAGCCCAACGCCATATAGGATCTTGACTATCACCAATTAGTAACCATGTTCCTAAATACATTTTTATTTTTTATACACCTATTGTATATAATGTATAATAAATTGTGTTATTAGTTAATATTATTTATATACCCATTTCTTTATGATATACGTATGCTCTAGCATTAGTGAAAGCTAAATGTGGCATTCCGTTATATAAAGTACAAGACAATAAAGAGGTACCAGGTACTGCTAAATGTGCAGCAGATGTAGAAACTATTAGTCTACACGAATATCCTATTTCCCACACACGTACAGCGCCACAACTTGAAATAACCATTACCTACAAACATTGGTTTGTAATAAATAGTGCTTAAATAGAGAAAAAGGAAAAACTGATAAATTAAAAGAAAAGTTAATACTGCATTTCCAACTGCATGGACTTTTGCGAGTGGGGCAGGTGGAGCTAAAGGCGGTGCTGGACGACATCCCTTTGCAGGATGAAATGTATGAAGACTACCATCTTCTAATCCAAGTGCTATAACTGCTGGTGATGCAGCTAGTGCTACAGCACTATATCCCAAATACAGATCCCAAGTTGGTTCAGAATCTGTGCCTTTAAATACTTGTAAATGTGTTAAACCTTGGTTGTTAGTGACAGTTACCGCATAGTGACCAGCTTGTTGAGATAATGAACTGGATGGTTTTAATGGAGGAAGTATAATTTGATTTGTACTTCTTTCAGATGTAATTTTTGGTTTTTTATTAAATGGTGCATTGTATGGTTTTGGTGTAGCTTGATCACGACGTTTTAATGTAAGTGTAGAGGTTTGACTATTTATGTTGATAGCATTTATAGAAGAGGTCACGTTTGGCGTTACGACATCATTTCGTTTTTCAATAACAATAGAACTTTTTACTTGGCTTGTAAATGTTGGTGTTCCCAGTCTATTACTTGATGAATCCCTAAGTAAAATGATTACTTTAATATAAAAATATATAAATACTATAATGCTGTAAATATACAATTTAACTTACATTATGTCAGATGGTGGTGGTATAAACATTGGTGTGATTCGTCTTTTGCCATCTGATGTTCTCGTTTCAATTTGTTTATTAATTGGACCTTTAGCAGGAGTAGTTGTAGTAGTAGTGGGTGGATGTACTAAATTAATATTTGGTGGTGTTTGAATTGGTTGGGTTGACGTTGCCGACATTTTTAGATTAAGAAGTTCAGGTGCTTCCATTACAGTGCAACCACCTTGAACTAATGGTTTACCATACAAACGCTCATGAAGACTACTCTATAAACAAATAAAAATTATTAGTTGTTTATTATTACTGAAAATAATTTATGTACAATAAATTACTTGTTAGAAGACCACACGGTGACCAACTAGCATCCAATACTGAGTGTGTGAACAATTCATGTATTACTACCAATGGTCTTTTTAGAGATGTCAACCATACGGATAGCGAACGATCACGTGATCCTATAGCAACACAGCAATATTGTTGTGGTTTAGAAGAACCAGGTTGCTTTTTTTGTAGAATATTACCATTAAACCTCTACAAGGTGTTTGAAGAATTAATAAATTAATTATCTAATAAATAACTTTAAATATGTAAATCGTCAAATTTATCTTTTATATTTAATATATACCACACATGTAACAGCTTTACGATGACCAACAAAATCTTTATCTTGTGTCCATCCGTCTCTTTCAATTATTTGTGCTGTAGGGCCTCCACCATTCATTGCATGAGCTGATACCAAATACTGTCCATCTGGGCTCCAAGATAGCCTTAAAACATGAGTTGTTCCACCACATTCATCAAATGGTTCTGATATTAATGCTGCTTCTGTCCAATCTGTTGTACGCCATACTCTTAATGTTTTATCATCAGATTGAGAGGCTAAATATTTTCCAACTGGATCCCACGTAATTCCTTTTACAAAACCTGTATGACCTTTTAATACAGCTACAATAGCTGGAAATTTTGATGCATCCCATACAATTACACTGTTATCCACTGATGCAGAAGCTAACCAGGGACTGTGCGGTGCCCATGCAAGATCAAGTACATCAGCTTCATGTGAGCGCAATGTAGCTATACAACGCCATGTTTCAACACTGGATTTTCCACCAAATATTGAACTTCCACCTGATCCCCCTGATAATCTCCAAATCATAATTAATTTATCTACACCACCTGATGCTAATAATCCATTGTTACTCCATCTCACACAATTGACACAAGCTATAAAAAGTAATAGATATATTTATCTATAAGATATATCTTAAAAAAGTATATTAAGTTTTACTATATGTATATTCATACCAAGATGATTATCTAATTGACACAACATTTTTGGAATATTTTCATCTAACTCTGAAATTTCATTAACCACTGGTTCCATATTCCATATAACAACTCTTCCAGAATCTCCCCCTATAATTAATTTTAATAATCATATGACAAATGCAAACTAAAATTATAATTTAGTTAAATACATTATATAAAGCAAGAAATAAATAAAAATAATAAGTTCAATGTCTTACTTTTACAAAAGGTATTAAGTATAGATAAATTAAAAGTATTAATATTATACCTTGACCACCAGTAGCAAACCTTTTTCCATCTGGATGTATATCCACAGAAAATATTGAATATCCTACAAATTGAACATTTTATAATACATTTCAACTGTAAACAGATTTGAACTGTAAATTTTAAACTGACCATCATGTGTAACCCAATTAGGTTTTACCAATTTCATAGTGTTTTATTTATTAAATCTTTGTTGATTCAATGATTATTTTTCATGATTCATTTTTAGTATATTAATATTTAACTGAAGCTTTTATTCTTTCTGAACATAGAATCTGCAACAGTTGCAAGTAGTATAACCTTAAATTAAGATACAAACAGACTCTTCATTTTGGTGTATTTCTATGAACACATGTAAATTATTGTGACGAATATAAAGCTCTTTTTTATACAATATGGACTGCATTCTCTTTATATATAGCATATTTTACATGTTTTAAGAATAACATATTATATTATAGCAGATAATAATTTAAAATAAGAGTATAGTAGATATGTATGTGTATATATATATTGTTATAGGATAAGCATGCTTGATAAAACATAATATGACATATCTTAACTATGTAACGGAATACGTAAATATGCAGTGAGTTTTTCAAATTAATTTCTTTGAAGCATATATTTTGAATAAACAAATTTTGTTATAAATTTGCATTTTATATTTGCGTTATATCTACTCTCTTATATTATACTGTATGAATTTCATAAAAATACATATTTACAGTATTAGATATGTCGTTATAATTATTTTTAATATAAATTCTCTAATCTATAAATAAAACATGTATTATTAGAAAAGAATTTTAAAATTCAATAAATAAGTAAATAAGATAATAAATTTTTTTCTAAAACAAAATATAAAAATGTATTTTTTGCATACATATTGCTAAATAGTCAATTATATAATATAAAGTGTTCATTCTTATAACTATTTATTTTTACACCTTACATATCTGATTTTAGGACTTGGTGTACGATTACTCGCTTCAAGTAATTTTTTATAACGTTCAACTAAATCTCCAATTGAACGTCTGTTTTGTTTAGCTTGTTTAGTTTCAATGATATTATTATCAATATTATTTTTAATTTCTACATCTATTTCGCATATGTTGAGTACATCAGCTTTATTTGTAAAGTCATTCATTATATCTTCTATTTTTGATATATTTTCAGATTTATCTTGTTCGATAATTAAATTTTTTGGAGTAGTAAATTCTGCACTTAAGTTACAGAGACTTTTTGTTGAAATATCTAAATTAAGTTCTGATATATCGTGCATTTTTTCAGTTGCATTTGCAAGTACAGTTGAATGTGCTTTTGAAGAACACGGTAAAGATACCATGCTTGAATTTGCTGCAAAAAGAGAAAGGGAAAGTTTTCTATTTTCTGAAAAAGAAATCAATGTTGCTGTATACCTGCTCTATTATTTCTTTTTATACGGGAAGAAAATAGCCGTGAATATTTTTCTGCTTGTTTGAAAGATAATAAATACTTTCTGGATGCCACCATATCCATATGTAAAAATTGTTTTCCATCATTTATACTTCCAATTGTATCATCAAAATTGATTCGTGATACTAATAAATTTTCTCTTAGTTTTGTTTCATGTGATGTGTGATTTTGTTTTAAACGTTCGTATCTTGAAAACAATGACTTATGTGTAGCTAAAAAATTTGTAAATATATTATTGAATATATTTAGCAATTATATAAATAAATTTAATCTCACCTTCTACTGGCGTTAATTGTAATCGTTTTTGAAGATCGCTTTCTTCATCATTATAGTTCATATTAATTTTTATAAGAGGTGATAACATAAGCATATTACTCATGGGAAATACAGCATCGTCATGAATTTGTATTATATTTTTTTGACACAAATTATTTTGTGTTTCTGATATTATTTTTGTAATATCTACTAGATATGTTTGTATTATATTGAATGCTGTTTTTATATTTTTAGTATTAGCCTCTATTTGTAACAAACATTCTGAAAAGTCTTCTAAAATATCTACTTTCAATTGTTGTTCTAATTGAATGAAAAGAAAATTAAATAATAAAATTAAATTATTCAATATTATTTTGTCATCCTTATACAATTGAAATAGAAGACACTGAAATATAAAATATTTTTATATTGACTATCTTTTATTATATTAATGTTTGTTAATATACACTATAGAAGTACTTACTTGGATATTTGGAGGAAATAATTCTGAAATCTTTAAATGATTTATTTTTTGTAACTGTTCTGCATTTAACATTTTAATGTCACTATTATTGTTTAATACTATATTATTCACTTTATAAGCAAGCTGTTCTATATTTCTTAAAATTGCATTTTTTATTTGTATTTGATTTATACCCTTATTTATATTCATTTTCCACACTAAAATTAGTTAATAATTATTGGTTTGGAAATTGAAATATATATATGTGTGTTTTTTATCTGGAAATGTGTAAATTTCTCCAAAAATGTAGGTGATGTAGAAAAATATTTAAACAAATATTTAATGTTGTCGAAATCATATATTATGATGCTGTTTATTTAATTTTGTGATAACCTTGAAAAATTCTGTGAAAGTCACATTCGAACTTTTAAACAGAAGATATAAAATTCCAAATTTGATGTGCCATTTTTTCTTCTAAAATCATCAATATCAAGACTGACAATACAATTTATCTGTCTTATCTGTATTAAGTAAATATAACATTGATGACAAGTGTTCGACAGTTTATATTGTGATAATGGTTTATGCAAAAAATATAAGTGTTTTACAATTATTTTGATGTCAATTATAAGAATATACAATGAAAAATATAAGTTCTTATTTGATAATTTAAATATATGATTGTTATAGAGCTCTCTGAAGTCATCACAAGGTCAAATAAATATAATTATCATATGGTCCTTTTAATAATATATAATATTCATCTAAAACATTTCACCAAATCACACATATTTTTCAAAATATTTACACATTTGTAAATAAAACAAACACACTGTATATATAGAAATATAATTAAGAAAATGAATTAGATATGATATCAACTTTTTATTACTTCTTCATTATTTATGTCTCTTAAACATTTTTTAATTGAAGGATGCACAGGTGCTGTATGTGTAAGATTTGTAATTAATTGCTCTTTCTCAAATATTTTTTCAATAATATTACTTAGTGTTTCTTTTTCTTTCCTAAAAAAATAAGATACTAAAATTAATATTTTGATTACATTTCTACTTATACATATTAATAAAATAAAATATAAATCTTACTCCAAAACAAATTTAGTTGTATTTTTTACTTTTGACAAACTTTTGTATTCATTTAAAATATTAGAATCAATTTTTGTATTGGTCTTTTGTAAAAATTTTTTTGCTAAATTTCCTTTACTTCCTGCTTGTGGTGCAAATGCAACATTATATGTAGCTATAGAAAATAAGAATTTAATAATAAAATAGGTATTTATATTTACATATACAAATATAATTGATTTATTATTGAACGACAAACCAATAATATAATGAAATTTCAATAGCTTTTATCATAATGATAAATGAAAACTAATATATTCAGAAAATAATTTTTATTGGAAATATCTTACTTTCACGGACAATATATCTTCTTAAAACTACTTGAGATAATTTCCACATAATGATTGTAAATTTACTTCCACCTGCATGAATTAAATGGGACATAAGAATATTTGGAAAACCAATATCAGGATTTTCCATAGATATAATTGTTAAATAGTCTTTAACATTGTTCCGATATTTAGCTTCAGTTTTTTTGCAAATGACAGGCCATTCAATTAATTTTTTAAAATGTTCTGAATCATATATTGTTAGTAAGTAATGTGAAGTATGTAAAAAGCCTGTTGTGTTGGGTTTGTCAAACATACCCTATATATTGAAATATTACAGTAAATTAATATAAAAATGAAAAAAGAAGGCAGCATATTTTAAAATATTTTAAGCATTATTATATTGTTAATAAAAAATGTACCTCACGAAAATGTTTTTTGAACTCGTCACTAGGTTGAATTACTTGAGATAATAAAAGTACATTACGATGAAAAGATACACTTACGGCCATTGCATAAATATAATTGGTTATCAATTTTATACAAAATTATTGCAAGAAAGATATTATAACTGTATATAACTAATTGTTTTATAACAATAGGGTAATACAAAGTACGATATGAAAAGAAATCTTGCTACCAACGGTTGTGTGAAAATATTTGAATTTTAAATTCATATACTTATCAAATTATAGAGGTGAAACTAATGTACTTATTTAAAGTACGTATATTCAGTTAATGATCAAATAACGAATTTGTAATTTTAGGTTAAACATTCTATTAATGCGTAGTATTATACGTAATTGCATTAAATTTGAAACTTGTTGAATTTTTTAAGTATGTATATTTTTTTTCAAATTTCAATCAAGTTAGTTGATACTTTGAATTGGACTGTTACAATCCAAAATGTGAATACTCTTTAATTTATAACTAGCATGTTTTTTTTCTTATCATTACTAAACTTTTAGCTATTTTCGTATTACGTTATGTTATTGGTTGAGTATAACATATCATAATACTATAACCATAGAGAAGATACAAGGTAGACCAATCACGTAATGTGTGTTTTTGTTCCTTGTCTCAAAAGTTCAAGAATTCCTTGACCATACACATTCATTTTTCAATATTACTAATTAAGCATGAAACAAGGTAACGTAATATTAATATTAAACTTGTAAAGATTAAAATTAAAGCTGTAACTGTAACATTATAAATAAATTCTATTATAGTCATAATAAGATTTCATAAGTTTAAAATCAATTTAATTATAAATTCTAATTAAATTAAAATATAATTGATATTAATTACTTTTCAGGTTATAAATAAAAACATGGTATCAGGGCAGAAGTATCAATTGAGTAAAATTTTTAATTGCGTTTAAATTTTATGATTAATAAAAATTGATTACAAGAAAAATGGTGATCAATTTAATCCATTAATACAATTAATCGTCAATCGTTGATTAAAAATATTAATAGCTAATTATGAATTCTTAGATTTAATTGGGATTAAATTAAAATTTCAACTAAAATTATTTTGAAATTTGTAATTTTAATGAATTTTTAAATTGTAATAAGGGTATAATAGTCGAATCTTAGATGACCGAGAAAGATTTAAGTATTACTTCTATTATTTTAGTACTTAATCATCAATTGACAATTCAATTTTTATTTCTTTCTATTATATTTTGTTCGTAATCGTTAATCGTGATCAAAGATCAAATACAAATAGTTAATTACGACCAGAAATTAGATATTGTAATCGTAATTGTTTATTATTAATTGCATTAAATTTTCCCAATTTTGTATTAGAGTATAGATCTTCGTAAAAAATGTAAATATTATTGAAATTAGAGTCTGAAACAATATGAATTTATTCAAAGTCAAATAAAGATCATGGTATTATAGGATTTATAATATAGGTTATTGGTTTAGTTTTTACTGCAATTATTACACGATGATCAAAATATAGTCTTACTTAAAAAAATACCGATGACTTTATAATCTTACAAAATATCGTTAGAAAAATTTTTTGTATATCATAATATTTGTTCTTTGGAAGCAAATAATGTTTTCGTTCGACATTTTTTTTCTTTATTATTAAAACACGAGTAAAATGTTTAAAATGCAAATTAATTTCATAGAATTTTATATAAATGATTCATATACTGAACATTTTACAAATCTGAAACTAATGCCTGACTTTTATTCATGTATTTATTATTTTGTTCATTTATGAAATTTTATGATAATAATTGAATTCAAATTTATTTATATTTATGTTATGTCACTTCTTGAAAATGGGATCTTGTATTTTTTAACACGTTGTTACAATAAATGAATAGAATTTGCAACGGTCTCAGTTCCATTAATGTTATCAAAGTAATAATGGAAAAAAAGAAAATAAAACGTGTCCGTACGATTAATAATTTGGGAGATGAAAATTTGTTTTAGCTTTATATTAAACGTATGCATAATAATATAAATCGATATACAGTACGGTTTTGTTCTCGAGACAATGTCAGCAGGATGGTTTTAAAGTTGAATCTTCTATTTGCCTTGACGCTTGAATGTTATTTATGTTTTATAATGCAAGAAAAGTTGTTCCAATGAAGAACTTTTGTAAATGAATTAATTTCTACTTATCTTACATGTTTAAGTGTCAACAGGTAAGCGGGATTCATCTCGATTATCGCTCTACTAGGGAGCTTTAAATTCGTTTCAATCATCTTCGTATTCAAACTTGTTTCTGATTGCGAGTTTGATCCAGATTTCTAAACTATGTCTTTCTGAAACAGCGTCGATTCGGGAACATGCGAGAGAAAGGAAAATGGACGGATGAGATGATGAGAAAGAAAGATATTGAGGAGAATACAAAGGGGATGAACAGTTTAGAGTGGATGGATCGGTAGCCATCGGTCGGTGGACGCTCACGAAGCAGCGGTGGGGCTGGTGGCGGAACGAGTCGAACTAGCCCACGTAGATCAATACCGTAGAGGGTGAAGCTGCCTCCCTGTTTGCGAGTAACAGTATGCTCGCGCCGCGGATACGCGCCGCACGTTCTTTGCTCGAGTCTTTGCATATAGTGTGATCCTTGACATACGACACAGGAGTTCAACGACTACTCTAGCAACGTATAATAAGCATATCCTTTCTGCACGATTTTCCCTCTTAATTACAACCGATTTGAACTTGGAACAAGTCCTTTCCGATCAGGGCTCCACTTTCCATTCTGCTGCTGAGGAAAACTCATAAAACTCGCGTGTTTAAATCCTTCGGTGTTTGAGGATCTTGTCATCTTTCAATCGTTTTACCGTCTGACACCTGTCAGAATCAACTCTCATGTACTCCTCGCTGTACTTTCTCTATTCCATACACTCCATGTTCCATGTCTCTTTGACTCTTTCATTCGAGCTCGTTATCTCCATTTTGACCACTGAATGATGGAAAGTTAAATCATTGGAAGGCTAGAAATGAAATAGAAGTAATTATCGTTTAGTAATCGAAATTATTGTCTTACAATTTCTTTTCCGTATACGAAGAGTACGATTAGAAATAGGGAATGGATACTAGTTTGGACACGTGATCTTTGAATCATTGTTCGTAAAAACAATCGAGCAAAAAGGGGAATCGTTTTGTTTTACTCGAACGCTTGTATCCCTTTCATCCTTCACTTACACCGATCAACGAGAATATTTAAATTAAATTGAAAGTTTCTTCACTTTCGCATTTTACTTACACTCTGGGATATAAATCGTTGGTAAAAATTAGTTGATAATGGAAAATACACATTTATACATCGAAGAGAAAATAAAATTTTCCATGTTCAATTACGAAGATTGGAAATATGGAAAATACTGCTTTTATCTAACGAAACAAAGGAAAAGAGTGTTAGTCGATCGTTTTCTTCTCACATATCGATGGCAAAATGGAGATATCGAAAAGGCAAGGGATGCCTGCGAATTTTTAACAAGTTTCAGATTTAAAAAATCGCGCTTGTTTGATTTCTACTAATTCCTTCGTCCTGTATAAGAAATTAAATCACGGTACCCTTGCATGTTTCCTCGCCACGCAAACATCCCATATATTTTCCTGTTTTTGCTTTCAGTGTACATCCATGTATCAGTGGCGAACGTGAAATGAGGTCCTAATAGCGGATACTGGCGCTTCTGTTGATCAGCCGATCAAAATCGCCAAGTTTGTTTCAAGCAAGTGCGCCGACGTGCGGGTTTTAGCGCGGTGATGCGGGCTGCTTGATAAAACGTGATAAGTGTACAGAGAAAAACTCGCGATCAAAGGACGTTAGAGTTTTCCAGCGAACCAGAAGGTGAGTAACCTACGAGATTTTTCTTCCTTATTTAATTCGTTACTCGAATTAGTCGAAAATGGCACAGTTTCAATTTAAAACTGTGAATATTTTGGAATATCGCGCGAATTATCGTGGATCACCGAGATCGATCCAAGTGGTTTTCGATATCGTAAAAGTGATACGCGAAACCGGGCGCCGGGAGTTTCCCGTAGACGAGATTAGACACGTGAATAGAATCGTACCGATAACCACTTCTCTAAGTGTCTTTTTATCAGAAGCTCCAGGCTTTATCTGTTATTATATTCCACTTAAACGCTATTAACGATCTTATTCCTGGATCGGTTGACGAACAAGCTGACAAACAGAAATCGTTCCAGTTAAATGTAAGGTAGTCTTTGGAAAATTCAGCCGCATCGATTGGCACTGAAAAGGTAGACGATGATCGAACAAACGATAATCGGGAACGATAGACTGATACGAATTATTATAGAGGCGCTTCGTTCTGTCACAAACACTCTGTCTGGTACAATGCTTCGTATTTTTACCGACGATTATCAGTACTCTCGATAATGAGTAAAAGGCTAAGTAGATCGCGTGTGCTTCTTGACGCGTTGCAGTCACGTTCCCCACCTTGGCCACGTTTTCTTGTAATATTGCCTGTATTCAATCGTGTGAAAATCTTGGTCGACTCAACGATAACTAGTTGGCTCTGGTTTCAAGCGGTTTTCATCCATTCTTTGATATTTTTGTAGATTGTGGCGATTCGAGGACGATTTGGAACGATCCGTTAGACAGATTTCAGCTAGAGAAATAATTGCGACAAGCAGTCTGACCGATGATCATTTGGCGACGATACAGTTGACAAGGAGTAAAGCTAATTCCGCGATAAAGCAACCTCGAATATATTGACCTTAAAGAAGTTAACGAAGAAATATAAAGAACGAACAAATAGACAATATCGCTGTAACAGCTGATATGGATTTTGCAGTGCAAATTTAAATGTACGCGGATTATGTGAAAATTGATTTTATCTATATAGTTTATACGCGTGGCGTTACTTAGATCTTCGATTGTCTTCTGAATAATAACTATTCGCTCAAGAGCCCTAAGGAATGGGCAAGAGGCCCGAAGAAAAAGGGATGCTTAACGTTCGCGAAGGGGATGGAAGGTTGTTTTTGCAGATCTAAAAAGTCAGGATTGTTATAAGGTTGATAGGTCTTTCAGGTCCTCTGTATCGCGGAATTAAAACAATTAGTGAATGGTAAAACGAAGTTAGACACGTTCGAATTATGTATCTTCTAAACATCGCGCGACAGAGCGATTTTTCGATTATCTGGGTAATGCAGACTTATCAGTCGATATGTGTATGCGAAAGCGAGTAACCGATGACTAGTAGCGAATCGCGCGATGACTGGACAGGCTTGTGTTCCTTGTCTACCGCTCATCATGGATGAAAAGCCTTTTGAACACAAACACACTAGTGTCAGCCGGTGGTAAACAGTCGATCGACGATCATCGTGCTGCTTAGACGTACGTAAACGTGCGTGTAAGCTACGCAATAACTCTAAGAGTGAGCGCGAGTGCGATCAACCGGTGAGGATCACGATTACGCCCCGCCTTTCTACAGCCAGCTTGCAAGCGTGTCAACGTGCCAGCGTAGCAGCGTGTGCATCACGCCTACACCTACTATTATTTGATACTGTATTTACTTGATAATCTATTTCGACTATGAGGATAGCCGTTTGACGAATTATTCAACTTTGTCGCTGTTCGTCTAACCGTAGCCAAAGTGTTACTCGCGGACTTCCTTGGTCGAGTACCAAAAGAAGAAACTGACCAACATGAATTGGAACAATTACGATTTGAACGATACGAGGTAAAGATATTTGTCCTTGATTCGAGGCGTGCATAACTACGATGCAAATATTCAACGACCACGTGTATTTTTTCACGACTCGTGTCTCTCTTACCGATTTATTCTCAACTTACGACATCATGAAAGCGATCGAGACAACTTATCTTCTAGTTACGTGATTTTACGTTTTGACGAGGGAAACGAGAAACGATAGATTATCGTGTTGGAGAAAAATTCATTTTGTAGAATTATAGCGTAATTTTATAATTTTTAATACAGATGACACAGAAGATACCGTAGTCTAAACATTGCACTTTGACCTCTTTTGTTGTCCAACACAATAGATAAGAATAGTTATCAACGTTTGTTCAAGGCTGATTTTGGGTGTATCGTTTATCCGTATCGTCCTGTTTAAATACCAAACATATTATCTTTTATCTCTGGAGTGAAAATTCTGTCGCCATCTTTATCGTTAATCAATCAACGTCGTTCTTTCTTTGTTTCATAAAATTCTTCATCCGTTTCGTTCAGGGAATATATTGTTTAGTATTGAAGTTCAATGAGATTATTAGAAATCTCATGATTTATCTAAAAACCACCGCCTCTCTTTTATCACCGTTATCGCGATGACATCTACTCAATTTATGTCGCTCTGCATCAGCACCGAATTTTCAGGCTAGCACCGAGAGTTCGTTAGATAAAGGTTTATTCGATAAATAAAGAATGGTCTCGCGTGTCTCGCACGTTGAAAAGTGATAAATTTTGCGCGATTTCACACTATATTCCAATTTAAATTTATTATAAGAATAATATTTATTGGTTCGAAAAGTACGTTGAAAAATTGGGTATCTTAGCTATTGCAATTACATTCCTCCAATTCTTACAGATACATGGAAGTAACTACAATAAATATCGAGCCTCTTATTACTTGCCTGGGGCAGATGTCCGTTTGCCCTTTGCTAAGGGTGGTACTACCGCGGAGTATTCTGTGAAATTAAGTACGGTGTGCCATCCACGTGTCTTTGGTTCTAGCGCGCCATCGTATCTGTTATATACATCCATCGTAGTTCTGAAGTTTATCATTAGAACTACCGACATGTAATGTGTAACTAAATACTCGAATGATAATAATCGAAGTGATACGATGGACACGAATAGCTATGTACATATGTTTTTATCTGAAGAAAAGTTAACATCAATTTTGTATCCGCATGCTTTTAGTAATTACGAAAGGAAGATATCCGAAATCGATAATTTTAATTCGTTCGATAGTTCTGGCGTGAAAATCATTTCTGGCCTCACCTTGCCCATTATGATATTCTTGAAAACGACACGCGTAACACGTTGTATTGCGAAATCTTCAGTGGCTTGCCAACGCGTGAGAATAATTTCAATGTTAACGCGCGTCATTTTTCCGCGACAATGTTGTTCTCAACGATCCAATAGTCTTCGATTACATCAAATGAATTCGTTATAACTAGAAATCGCTATCGAGTATGAACTTGCTTGTGTACCACGAATCGAGGGGAGTATGTAGAGACGTTCCGACGGAGACTCTCTGTAGAGAGCAGTTATTTCGATCGTTATTCTTTCACGTTTTAATTATACATATCGGTGTCTGCACGAGTAGCACAACTTTTGTCGAGCGTACGAACCCCGTTGCTCGAATTACAAAAAATGCCGTATCACAAGGACTTTTTCATTTGACATTGTTGTCATTCATTAATGTACTCATTGGCCAGCTCGACGGACCTTTCCGTTTAATGATCATCGTGAATTTCGTGGACTTTTTACTGTCAACTATCATTTATACATATCTTGATCTCGTTGCATCGATTCCGTTTCAAGTTTATCTTGATGGGACATTTCGTCAGACGAGGAATTTCTAATGTCGTGTCAGCGACGATTATTCCGATTAAATCGAAGATCTTCCCTTTATTTCGAAACGCCTTATTTCTAAGTCCTTTCGTATCAACAGACACCAAACTGACCTCTGACAATTAAACAATTATCGTGTCAGCCCCTCGTTTATTATGCCACTCTCCCTTTACCGAAGTGACGGACGGGAAGGCCTACCATTATGTAAAACCATCTATAAACGCATACATAGGTAGAACGCAGATAATCATAGCGCGGTAATTATCCACTTGACGGCTGGTAATCCTCGGGTAACCATTCGACGTTTGTCGCGATCTTGACATTCTCGTGATCGGCCTCGATTAGAGGAAGCTTCTTCGAATGTTCTGGCTTCGTTACACCGAAAATCTCATCGATTTCCGTCACCCTGCTATCTCTAATATTCGGCGAACGCGTGTGTCTGCATACGAACCATCGGCATATTCTCGAGCCTTCTGAAAAATAAAATCCATTGAATAAGAAACCGGTTATATATCTTTGTGCATAATTATACATAATTGTGTATTTTCATCTTACGATCAACTTTCAATGCGACTAGTGTTCGCATTAACTCGTGTACGAATAGCGAAGAATGTCACGGGTATTAGCGGTTGTTGGATGGTTATTAACGATATCGTTTACGATAAACTTTAATCTGCTTATCTTGACTCGTGCACTCCGATCTTTCGTTCGAGAACTTCGTTTAATCGACAAAAGGAAAGAAACGATAGCAAATGTCAGAGCAGACGCAAAGATGAAATAATGAATACACTTGTATACACAGTTCTTTCGATAACGAGCAGTCTTATGTTCACGGTCATGCATTGCTACATACTTCTCCGTGTATTCTTTTTAATGATCTTTTGAAAAGGTTGTTTTCGTCTATAAATTAATTCCCTTGTTACTTTTGCAACACTGATGAACGTTTCTTCTTCTTCTCGGTGTACAGATAACATGCAGATGGGAAAACGGAACACGATTTCGAGAAGGCTTGAAGTCATAAGAATGGCCTGAAAAGAGGATGATGATTAGTTATTAAACACGATTTGGTTATAGCGCGAGATGTTTATGGTCCGCTCGTAAATTCTGAACACTATCTCGTAACTCTTCTTTCGAACATTATCATCATCATTGTTACAATTATTACCCTCCGTGAACGTAGCTCTGTGTAGTCGACGGAACGCATCGCCAAAAGAACCGCGCTTTTACGACGCTTTATTAGACACGAGATACATCTGCGACATACACAGAACGAATCTGCTTTGGCATAGTAATCAGCGACGTGCCTATGATCGCACGCGTCAACCGATTACACGTATCTCATGACAGCCGCTTGCGATCCCACTACAATTATTACCTACGTTAGAATGTTAGAGAATGCTTATCGATGGGAAATTTTTGTTTCGCTAAACTCGTTAGCATCGTCGACTCGAAGGACAAGAGTTCCTTACAGCTACCGGATATCGCGCGTTTTCACCTACCTCTATTGTTTCGCGAAGATTACAAAGTTGCTCGGCGCGCGGAAGAAACCAGAGTCGATCACGTGAAATAGAAATTTACGAATCTCTTCCTATTGTTTCGCGACATCGTTGACGCTTATCGCGATTAAAGTTTAATCCGTGTGTAATTAAATGAGCGAAGGAACATGGATTGTGCGGGACGGTATACTAGAAATGGTCCATCGCGAGACTCTCTATTTCATGTACAGCCGAAGAAATTTCATCGAGGATATAGCGCGTAAAGATTCGATGGAAAGTAAGCGAGAAGAGGAAAATTAGAGGACGCTCGTGCCTCGCACCGCGACACGAACAAAGTACTTCCCGTCGAGGAAGTTTAATTATTATAAAATCGCGTGTACATTGCCGGTAACCGCGAGCAGACGGCCGGCGACGAGTTATTCCACAATCCCACACGCATTTTTCCTTCATGAACGTCGTTGAAAGACGAGAATTCGGGGGAACGATTTACGCGTTATCGGTCACTTTCGAGGAGAGTCGCGTATATTCGAGTGCCGCTAGTGCAGCTGACGAGTCGCCATCGTGTTCACGCGGATGTCGTTTCGATAACGAACCACCGGAATATTTTTGAACGTGTCGCTGCAATTGCGACAAAGCAAGGTAAATCTTTTATAGAGAAACGAATAAGCGAATTCATATCACCATCGTGGAACGAGTTTGCTAAAATCAACTTTACCCTAATCACTTGATGGTTTCACGTGTGCGTTCGATTTATTTTTTAGACCGTGGATGCAGCCGGGTATCAGAGGTGGAGGTGGCACGGCCCACGCAGGTGGGACAGGTGACGACGAGGCTTCGAAAGATCCCGGTGTTCGGATCACTCATCAATCTTACACCGAGAAAGACTACGAAGGTATCGAAATTTCTTTCGTTTCCTTTCTCAATGAACTCGTCAGGAAACATCCGCTAATGATCGAAAGCTCCTTTCGCACCTTCACGCTTCCTTAGCTTTTAATTGGCCCAATGATGCTTATTCGCGCATAGGTCAGCCGGATACACGAATCTGGCTTCGGTGTTTGCTCACAGAATGCGTTGCAGGTGCTTCGAAAATCATTATTTCGTTCATCAATATTGCGATCCTGGTGTACGCTAAATGTCGGATCCGAGGTCACCTGTCCCGACGCGATCTTGAACCGTCGACATTCCTCAGATGATTAAATCGATTCGGATTATCTATCAGATCCACGGATATTTGTTTCGATTCTCGCCTATTATCACATTGATGGTAAACGAACGAGAATAAAGGCTTGAGAAAACGTCAGGATCGAGAGGGCCATCGGGAGGATATAAATCTGTGGATCGACGGTTAAAGATAGCGGAGACACACCGAGTGTTTTCGACCGATAGAGGAGAGGTCGTGACAGCGTTAATTTCTCTTTCTGCCGTGCTGGATAGAATTTTTATCATCGATAATCATAGGAACTAGTGTAATATCGGTCCGAGAACCACTGACTCGAGATCTCTTTCATCTGTTTCCAGGTCACAGAGCGCACACGGTGTATGTGGGCGTGCATCTACCAGGCGAAAGAAGACACCGTCGTCATCACAAGCACCATCATTCGCAACGTCAAACGTATAGTGCCGATAAGGAAAATGTCGACAACGATAGGCCCAGTAAGTTTGTGCTTGTACTTCTGCTTTCCTATTCTTTCGTTCGCTTTTTGCCCTCCAGTTCGATCTTTTCCCGGATCGTTCCGGATCGTCAACCTATCGAGCCGCGTTCTAGTAAAAGGGCTACCAGTGTGTTTTTCTCCCGCGTCTAACTTCCCCTATGCTGTTGACTGAGACATAAAGTTCCACCGTGACAGATCCACGCCCATTGTTTCGGTAAAACGATCGATCGGTTAACACAGACCGTATGAGGAACAATCTAATCTCGTCTTGTCCGATTTCTCGTCGTGTTTCGTTTTGGGTAAGGAACGAACGATGTTCATCGCGTAATCGATAACCACCGCGAATAGAAACGGGAGACAAATGTCTCTTGTAGGTCACGAGTTTTCGAGGCTAAAGTAGTCTCGGTGCTTCTATACCGAACTCAGTTAATCGCTCTCATGCGGCTTCGAAAAGATCTACTCCAACCGGCAGAAGAAAGCCACTTCGAATCGAGATACAAGGAGCTGGAAAGCTGGAAATTTTCATCGAAATTCTCGGTTCTTGCGATTTCAACCGACTAATCGACCGTGTAAGTAGAGATGTAACGACAATCACAATTACGAGAAGCGTGCAGCCCCCTAAGGATCGCGAAGCATCGAGTAAATTGTTCGCGTCTTCTTATGCGAATATGACTAGAAATAAAGGAAAGTATGCGATGCTTTCGAATGGCGAACGCGTGAACTTAAACGGACCGTGACACTTTGGAAACGACTTTGTTGGTTATATTCCCATTAGCGGTATCGTGTTGTTCAAGTAGCTACCGTAGAACGCGCGTGTAAACGTTCCATGGTATGTTGCACTTTGCGGCATTATTGAACGGTATGTGGCAACCAGCCAACCACTTGTCACGACTTCTCCGGCTGTTCACCCTACCTTTGGCATACCGGATACAGAAGGGTGACCGATATCGGTCAAGGGTTCTCAACCCTTTCCTCGCGAGATACTGTGCAGCTACCCCTTATACGTTACTTATAAATCTTTATCAAACTCGTTGGACATATCTACAAATAATATTTAATAGTTACTATCCTAGAGTCCTGTAATCTTGGAGATAGTATTGGAGATGGTTATAAACAACCGTTTTCCCATAGCGAAAAAAAAAATTTATTTGCTCGGTTACCTAATCATTTCAATGGAAGTCAGCTAATATTCGACGAGCCTACGAGTTTATGTTCATCGCGGTTGTTCAATCCTTGTCGATGATGTCCGGAAGCTGATATCGAATTGTTTGTACCACATATCTAATATGTTTGCTGTATCAAAGCTAGGGCTCGTATTTCTTTTCTGTCGTACTGTCATCCGGCTGATCTGCAATCGACATTTTTAATTTCGCTTGACTAAAGTTACTTACGCTGCGATAATTAGTTGAACGTCAAACGATTGGCTCTAGGTGACTTCTTGTCGATTCAAGATGATCACGTTTTAAAGACTTGCAGAAATTCTTGTACGGTTGTGCTGGGTTGCTGTAAAACGTTGATCTATGAGAGAGTATTTGGGAGAGCTGGAGTTGCACAACGTCAATGTTTGTTGTATCGTTGACGTTTCAGGACAATTGCTGATGACTCGAAGGAGTCGACTATCTAGTATCTGCAATCACGACGGCGAAATGATACGTAAGCTCAAACACGTACCAGAATTCTATGTATTCACGAACACACTTACCAAGAGACCATTCGTACGTAAAAGTTGAAATGGCTCGAAGAACAAAGTTTCCAAATACCGAAATTTTGGCATTTATTTAATCATTTAGTCGCATTGTTGGCAGAGCTGTCGATTTAAAGGAACAACGAAAACGAATTACGTTCCAGGAGTCTTGTCAAGGTTGTCACAATCGCTTCGGCAATTTGACGGGATGGTAATTACGTTCGATTAGATTCGTAGCTTCTACCTCACGTAGTAGCGTGATCCAGCTAGAACAAGATTAATATTTATCAGATCAGATCGCTCTGTGTACAATTCCGTGAATCATGTCTCGTTACATTGTTTATTGCTGTTACATAAAGAGCAATGGGTTCGTTAGCGTGACGCGATTTACGTTAATGCGGATCATTTTTACCTTTCATGTATTCCGCGAAATGAAAATGAGCCGACAAACTTTTCAGGCGTGAGAAACGTTTGTTTCGCGGACGATATCTGATAATGATCTAAATTAAGCACAGTCCATACGAATGGTCTCGATTATATATTTTCCGATATGACACGCGATTCCACTTACGATTCATGCCGCACTATAGAACAGCTTGTGATGATTACCGACAAAGAAATAAAAGATATGTTTGTTTTCATGTGTTTTCCGTTTTTAACACTTTTCTTAGGCGTGTGCATGTGCCGTACGTCATTATGCACGCAAAATTTGCGTTGATTATTCTGCACTGCTCGAACTGATACTGTTATACCAAAATTTTCTGAAAATAACTACTCGTTCTCTGCGTAGATCGCATTTCCAGAGTTGAACGTAACAACCCCCTTTCACGCGAACTCTGTATCCTACATTTCTTCCTTACTACTTGACGATATACGCACACCATACTTTCATTGTTCCTACAGACAATGCGCTTTAGCTGGCTGAAAATAACTTTTATTGCACTATGATACACGTTTACAAAATACATACCACAGGTCATTTAAGGATCGTTCAAGGTCATATCGGCGTCATCCAAAGGTCGTTCCATCATACCGGTGTTAGTTGAAAATCGTTGAAAACTATTACGAGGTCAATTGAAAGTTTACTTCAAGCTCATCCGAAAGTTCGTTTCGATGTCATACGACGGCCATCTCAAGGTCATTTGACGATTTCAAAGTCGTCTAAGGTCATTTTGTTGTTATCTTAAGATCGTCAACAGATCATTAAGGTTATTCGAGGCTATTTGGAGGTCATTGGATATCATTTCATACAACTTTAAACTAAACGTTACAAGTAGCATAATTAACCGTCTCATACGTGGAACTTTACCAAACGTATTCTTTTACTATGTGTATACATATATATACATATATGTTCACACGAATTATTAATGCTTTTTTCGTTCTGTAACAAAGAGTTTACGAAGTAACGTATGAAATTACAGTTACACCACCAGCCCAAAGGGTGCAGTTTATCCTCGGCGAAGAAGTCGGCGATGATGCACACGAGTCACATCCACTTTTCTCTGAGATGGAAGAGCTCGTCAAGGATGGCGACGAGATGGAGTGGAAAGAAACAGCTAGGTAATCTTAACGTCTCGATTATCATCTACTTTTGACAGTGATGTAATTTTACTTTGCTTTAACATCGCGACGAATATATTTACCTAGATATTTTTCAGGTGGATCAAATTTGAAGAAGATGTCGAGGAGGGTGGAAATAGGTGGAGCAAACCTCACGTAGCTACCCTCTCGTTACACGCTCTCTTCGAATTAAGAAGCCTGCTGTTAAATGGCACAGTGATGTTGGACATGGAAGCAACGAGCCTGGAACAAATCGCCGATTTAGTACTTGATAACATGATCAACAAGGGCTCCTTGCCAATCGAATCGAGGGAAAAGGTAGGAAAGCGGAATAGTTTACCAAATATTTAGACAAATTCTAACTGAGATGATGTTTGGAGTGCAGGTCAAGGAAGCTCTTCTAGTGAGGCATCGGCACCAACACGAGAGACGCAAAGATAACAACATGTCCAGGCTACCCATTATCCGATCGTTAGCTGAAATAGGCCGAAATCATTCTTCTTCGAAAAGTAAGTTTACAGATTCTACTTATCCACTATAAACATTCGATCAAGTAATTTGATATTACACGAAGAAGAAAAATACTAATACTTGAACTTTCATGCACGAGATCCTTTTAGAGCGTGATCCCTCAGTTATCTTGATGGTTCAAACAAATATTTCCTTTTGATGTTTATGTTTTATTTGTTATCCGCTTTTCCCTTTAAAAATGGTTTATTTATTATTCTACCTTAAACAAGCCCTTTTAAAATAATCATCAGTATGTCAAAGTTTCACCACAAAATCGGATTAACATACTTTAGATGGTATGTGACCCATGAGGTCGAAAATATCCGATCGTCGCCTTCACATCTACACTATCCAGAGTTTATCAGATTAAACACGTGCAAAACGCTCGACATTTTCAGATAACGACTGTACATGTGGTTTCCATGTGTTGTTGACATCAGATTTACAGGGGCGTCGCGACGCTAGGGACGCCTACGCGCCCTCTGTCGCTCGCAGCAGCAGTTGTCCGAATTCGAATACGGCTCTGCTTTCGAAAGAAGCGAAAGATTTGAAAGGACCGTACCTTCTGGTTCCAGGTATACATATATAGGCCAGAGTGCTAAGCAGTCTCAATCGGCTTGGGTTACGGTGCTTTCGCAGCTTTCTAACATTCCTTGACCCCCATTGTACGATTGTATCTAACCCCTGTGTATCAACAATGTTTCAACCTACATCAATGTTTATCCCATGGATAATGTTTACGAACGTACACGCCTGATTCGATTCGATTGGCACAATGACAAAATTCATAGTATGGTGTTGCAACATGGCTACATGTATGGCCTTCACTTGCCTCGTAGTTTAAATATTTATACTTGTCTCTTATTTTTCAATCAGACGAATTCGGCATACCCCACGTGGTCGGATTTACAACATGGTTCGCGATGTGTCAACTAAAAGGTTAGACTGTCAGGTGGTTATTGTTCTTATAAATCTTAATTGACTGTACAAGTACATAAGTGTCTTTCATTCTCTCGTATACTTCGTAACTTTCTCCATTTTGTTATCTTCTTTCTTCCTTTCTTACTCTCTTGTATATATTACGAATCTCGATTGCATAATATTTCCCGATAAATATTTCTGTATCGATTATATAATCTCCTCCCTTCGTTTTCCTCTTCTCTGTTGACTTCTCGGTGTTTACAGTAGCTAGGCATTGCACAGATCAGACATGTGTTATCGATCGAACTCGTGAAAGAAATTCGAACGGGGACGCTAGCGTCGGATGAATATCGGGCATTTACTATTGCGACTGTAACGATACTGCACCGATACGGAAATCTGAGCAATTATTTTCTCGTCCTCCCGAGATACAAGCGACTCAGAAAAAGTGCACGATCGCGCGAACGTGTAAGAGAACCTTCGCAATACTAATCACGAGGCATGATCTTACGCTCTAATTGTATAATATGCACGTGACTCAATGTATACTTTAACTACCCAATATCGTACTTTATACTCCAACCGTCATACTTTTAATCAATTAACGTCTATCTTTTCAGCGTTCCAACTAATTTTCCTTTCCTCTTTGCGACACTACTGAACTTCATTATTTTCTCGAAAACGATAAACAATTACAATGTCGCGAAACAGTGCGACATCAAGCGGACTACGAAGCGCAACTGTTCGCGAAACGTAGTTTACCGACGAATGGAAATGGGATTACCTCCTCCCCTTGGATCCTTCCTCTGTAAATAAAGGACGATCCTGGTGTGTGTTTCATGCTCATTTTTAGTGGAGGAATCAAATTCCGCCCCGGCGATCGCCGGCACGACCAGTCACGGCAGTGGGGCAGCGCTGAATGCCGGTAGCCGCTTCCTTGCCATACCCGGTAATCCCGGTAAACTGCTTTACCGTGCTTGCATTTTTTTTACTCTTTAAAACACCAGAAAACCCTCTCGTCGCCGTAGATTTCCCGTAGCAAATATGCAATGCTCTATACGCGTACTCTCGTATACAAAAATCTAAACGACGAGAGTGCCGCGAGTTGTCGGAATCGCGAACCAAATAAACTGGTATAATCGCTTAAAATAACGCCTCTATCGATAAACGATTATCGATGCGAGTAGAAACGTGGAAAACAAAATCGATTCCATCATCGAGTAATTGTAGCTACGTAGTCACTCTATTGGAACAGTTTACGGCACTGACTATCCTGCGCAAGGGTTGAGCAATATACTCTTGACATTTAATGTAAGAACCATGTGTGCTTTTACGGTAAACCTTCGATTTGAGAACTTTCACATCAAGTAGACTAAAATAGAAAGAGGAAGAGCGATTCTAATTTATGTTCCGATTTATAATTTATAAGTTTTCTTCCGATTACCAGGAAATCGCTGGTATCAGATTCCTGCAACTCGAAAACGCTTTGGACATGCGAATGTGGGCCGTCGGCTATCCAACTTTTAACGGCCTTGGATAGCGGTGGTAATTGAGAGGAAACGGAAAAATACGTAGCCACTCGATTACGATGCCCACGCGACATATCGTTTAATTTACCTTGGAAAGATGCAGTAGGCGGTAAGCTAGATCTCTTTCAGGCCAAGAACCAGGCACCAACGGAATGGATCGAAGCCCAAGCAGCGTGTCAATTAGCAGAAATCACAGTTCGTCCGCTTTAGAAAATGGAGATGCGAATCATAGGGTTCGTAATATTTAATAATCGCAACCTTCCTCTCGCATTTATGAGCGGCAAATATTTCTTTATGGTCTCTTTGACAGGGTAATACACACTTTATGCGGAAGATACCAGCGGGAGCTGAGGCAAGCAATATTCTCGTAGGAGAAGTCGACTTTTTAGATAAAACTCTGTCAGCCTTTATTCGTTTAAGCCAAGCTGGAATAATGGGTGACTTAACAGAAGTTCCTGTGCCAACGAGATTTATATTTGTTTTGCTGGGACCTACGGTAAGACTTCGACAAGCGGTAAAGCGATTCAAGTTCGAATATCAATTGTAGAATGCATGAATGAGGAAGCATCGATCGCGTCACCTATCGGGTAGATGTAGATTCGAGATAACTCGATGAAACGCTCCTTTCGAATAATTAACGGTTTAACGAAGCAATTGTCCACGCTGATTGCCTGGACTATTCTCGATCTCGAGAGACTGGTACACAAAGCAATTCCTATCTAACTTGAACAAGAGCTTGATTATCGTTTGAGATCGACTCAATCCACCGCTTCTTCCCAATGATTCGTCGCGTTCACTTCTTTCTATTAATCGTTCTATCCTCCATTCATTACGCATCGCAAAACGCGAGTGAAATGAGAATATGCTGGATAAAACGACATCGAAGCATTTCCATGGCTTATACGACCCTAATCTTTCACTACCAATTGCATTGTCATCTTAGGGAGGAATCACAGGTTTTCACGAGATCGGTCGTGCCATGGCTACTCTGATGTCCGATGAGGTCTTCCATGACGTGGCTTACAAGGCCAAGAACAGAAATCATTTGCTTGCTGGAATTGACGAATTCCTGGATGCTGTTACGGTTCTACCACCAGGAGAATGGGATCCTACGATCAGAATAGAACCGCCAGCTGCCATTCCTTCACAGGTATAATATGTACAGGTAGAAATCTGCAAATTAATATTCGGTGATCAACTCCTCCGATAGGATGTAAGGAAACGACCTAAGGAAGAGAAACCAAAGGAAGAATTAGACGAAGAAGCGGATGAACAGAAGCAGAGGGAAGAATCCGGGCTCTCGAGGTCTGGCACAATTTTTGGTGGCTTGCTGAATGATATAAAGAGAAAAGCGCCGTTTTACTTCTCCGATTTTAAAGACGCGTTGGCCCTTCAATGCGTAGCCTCTTTTATTTTCCTATACTTCGCCTGCCTCTCACCTATAATTACATTTGGTGGTTTACTGGGCGAAGCTACGGGAAAGAATATGGCCGCCATGGAGTCGCTTGTTTCCGGTTTTGTTTGTGGTATCGGATATGGATTCTTCTCTGGCCAACCCCTCACTATTCTCGGTTCGACCGGTCCCGTTTTGGTCTTCGAGACAATAGTCTATGAATTCTGCAAGTGAGTAACGATGTAATGCGTTTCGTGTTGACGTAGTAGTAGCGTTATCGTTATTCTCATAGGAAATCGGAATGGAATTACATGTCCTTCCGTTTCTGGATCGGCTCGTGGATAACCTTGATTCTGCTAATCCTCGTGGCGATTGACGCAAGTGCTCTGGTGTGTTACATCACACGATTTACAGAGGAGAATTTTGCCACGCTCATTGCATTTATCTTTATCTACAAGGTAAGTAATCGATATAAATGATCAATGGAAAATCGAGTCGTATTCGCAAAGAAATGGTTTTCGTTACTTTAGTACGTCTTAATTGCGTAACCGTGTCCTTCTGGAGCGATGCGGGTTAATTGGATGGGATATAACTATGTATGCTTCGCAAAACGCACCATCAGCGAAATCGACGGCATTTGGGTCACGAATCGTGGTATACGCGTCTAATCGTGGCGTTACTCGCGGGCTTCAAAACCATTGGCCAAAAGTTCGATTGTCCTCGATCTTGACGACAAAATAGCTGCGAGAATCGAAAGCTCTTAAATTTTAATTCGATTCGTTAGCTTTTAATCGAGGATATTTGGAGCAGGCACCTAAAAATTCATATGTTTCAGGCCATTGAAAATGTATTGTCCATCGGCAAGAAATACCCTATTAATACTCACGCAAACGATCCATACATCTATGAGTGTTGGTGTAATCTGCCAAATAGCAGCCTACCGTCTAGCTACGACAATGTTAATTGGACGGCGCTTGATCAAAAAACATGCCAGGTTAATAATTGAACGCTGACATCGAGCTACTCGTTAGCCGAAATTACATACTGCAACGATAACTTTAATCTTAAGACGTACTGTGTCTGGGTGGACACGATGTTATCTCGCTGATTAGAACGTCGTTAATTTTCTTTCAGAGTTTCAATGGTACGCTGGTGGGCGATGGTTGCAACCAATCACACTATATACCCGATGTGTTCCTCATGTCAATTATATTATTCATGGGCACATTCTTGTTATCCGTCGAGCTCAAAGATTTCAAGAACGCTCTCTTCTTTCCATCAAAGGTATATTATGCGTTATGTAAAAACAGTGCACGCAATCAAACCGTCACTCAATGAGTCTATCCATACAGGTCAGACAAGTTGTCAGTGATTTTGCCGTGATTATCGCAATTTTTTCGATGAGCACGTTAGATCATTTCGTGAATATTCCGACGCCGAAGCTCGAGGTGCCGGAGGAATTCAAACCGACATTAGGTGATCGAGGATGGATCATCTGGCCTTTTCAAAGTAATCCATGGTGGAGCGCTATCGTTGCGTGTCTGCCAGCTCTTTTAGGCACTATATTGATTTTTATGGATCAACAAATTACAGCCGTGATAGTGAATAGAAAAGAGAACAAATTGAAGGCAAGTGCTTGTCCCTGGTTTCTGCTGAAAAGAAAAAACAACAGATCGAAGAGTATCGATAAAGCGTATTGTTCATGTTTAGAAAGGATGTGGCTATCATTTGGACCTGTTCATTCTCGCAATCCTGATCGAAATTTGCTCGGTAATGGGATTGCCTTGGTTCGTCGCGGCGACAGTGCTTTCGATCAATCACGTGAACTCGTTGAAACTGGAATCAGAATGTGCCGCACCAGGTGAAAAACCGCAGTTCCTAGGTGTCCGTGAACAGCGTGCCACACACATTTTGATCTTTTTGATGATCGGCTGCTCGGTTTTACTCACGCCAATGTTGAGACACATACCGATGCCGGTACTGTTTGGTGTTTTTCTTTACATGGGAGTCGCTTCATTGAAGGGACTTCAGTTTTTTGACAGGATTTTAATAATGCTGATGCCGGTTAAATATCAACCCGACTATATGTTCCTTCGACAAGTAAGATAATTTAAAACCTAGTTGTCAATACATTCCTCGAGATCAGAACTTTCATGATCTAACTGTTACAGGTTCCATTGAAACGCGTGCATCTGTTTACAACGATACAGTTGGCTTGTTTAGCCTGCTTATGGATCATCAAATCCTTTAGCAGCACTTCCATTCTATTCCCTTTGATGGTTTGTTATTTATCAAATAATAATAGCTGAAAACGATAATCCTTACCGATTGGTATATCTTTCTCAATCAAACGATATTTAACGCAGCTGGTGGTGATGATCGGTATACGCAAATCGCTGGACTTGATATTCACTCAACGCGAATTGAAGATTCTGGACGACGTAATGCCGGAACCTAGTAAGAAACATGCCGACGATCTTCGACAACTGGAGAGCGGCGAGGTTAGCACCGTGAGACGAATACTAAATACCATCATTGGTCGTAAATAGCACACAAAAAGTGATCGCGTGGCTAATATTTGCCCCGTGGTCACGGTAACTGTCTGCGACTACGGCGAAACCGCATTGTGTCGGAAACGCGACGAACAACGTGACATCTTAACGAGTGATCGCGTAAACGTGGCCTAAAATTTTGCTACGCCTTATTCTAATTAACGGTTTTATTAGCCGTCATGCCGTCTTATCGTTAATGTCTCTTCGATCGAAGCAATAATAGTTTGCCAATAAACGTGCCTGAATGACGAAGATGGCTCGTACAAAAGTTAGTAAAAATAAAAATGTATTCGATGATTTCACAATGTTTACGACCAAAAAATTCTCTTAACGCACATACTGCGCATGCCAAAGTGCTCGGTCCGACCAGTATTAATTACATGTAATAGTTATACCGTTGTTTGAATAATAGCATTTTGGATACAATTGTTTTAAATATAGGAAAATTTAGGAAAGTTATTGTAGTTAAATTATACCGATTGTAGTTAAAAGCATATTTATCAAAGGTATTTATACAATCGTAAAAGATCATGAAACGAACATTGCATCGCTACTTTCTGCCGGCCTAAAAGTTCTATCGAAACATGGAGGAAATTTTCTTAAATTATTTCCTTTTAATTAAATTTACCAAATGTCATTATCACTTCGTGACAACACGCGGGAAATATAACGATGTCAATGTTTCGTCTGTCAACTGATACACGTGTATCCGCTCGATGCGTCGTCGAGCACAAATTACCTACCTTAACATATGAAAATACATTATTGTTTAAGAACACACACAAATCTCTCTGTAATCCCGGCTCTTCCTTATGCAACATTTATCAACACGTTCGGCACACGATACACGAGTTAAATACACTCTGTCCTGCATGTAATTATCGAAATCTCCGACACGCGATGAACACCAGACTACACGTGGAATCGATTGTACCCACGGTATCGAACCAGAATCCTCCCTTACTGTTCTCGTGATTCGCAATAATCTGCCATTTTACCAGATGTTTCCATGCACTAAAATCTTTTCGCCTAAGATCCAAGTATCTGATTTAAACGCACAGTAACTGTGGCACAGATGATGATCGGGGAAAGGGGAGAGAGAAAGGCAAAAAAAAAGAAAGAGAAAGAAATGAGTAAGTGGTCAGAAACTCAAATAAAGAGAGGAAAATCGATAAGGAAACGAAAGAATGCCAGAGACATAAAGGTACCAGTGGTCGTCGAATCCTGCGGCTGTCATCGGTACGTGACCATAAGCGCACGTCCATAATTCCCCAGCATCGAGAATAATTTTAACATTTGTATCTATATCCCTGCTGAAGAACATACCTTTATTACGCTGAACTTCAGACGTCGTGCACTGCGATATAAATTGATTGCGATCGCGATCCCGGTAACGATGGCATGGATACAGACCGTCGTTCCGGCTATTCGCTCTGTCGATACTATAAATATAGTATCACGAGAAAGAATAGAATAATTGAGGTGATTCGGCTCTGCACGAGTCACGAAGGCTACCTTTTCATGCGATACCTGCTCGTTCTCGGCCGAATGCAAATTTCATTCTTTTGTTTTCTCCACTTCCAGCTCGAACGATGCTAATCGAAATACCGCTTTCCTCTTATACCTAAATCTACCACTTCGAAGTCTGTGAAGCCTAGTACCGAGAGTTTTGCTGAGTTCGATGCATGGCTTGATTCATTTCTCTCTTAAACCTGTGAAACGAAATCTGAGCTTAAAGCTGATTTTATTATTTGTCTTTTAGGAGCAGAACGAGTCCATGGAATATGGCCCATCAGGAAATATACAAATCTCGCTGGCGAATGGTAATATTATGAAGATTCCAATGGCGAGCATCAATATCAGTGAGGAGGTGAATAAAACCGGGATTTGGCAACAAGTGAACGAAGGGAACGAGAAAACGAAACAGGTTAAATTGATCAAGTAGGTGTAGACGAGCTCGATTTAATAGGGTGCAATGATGAAAGAGACGTTAATAAACTGTCTGGAATTTAGCGCCGGAAAGCAAAAGAAGCATTCGAAGAAGGATAACTCGTTGATGACCGACGAGACTACAAGGCTGACTACGATGACTGAAGAAGACGAAGATGACAGTGGGATCTCTATCAAGGTGACAAACGTAAATGACTCTAAATTCTAACCACAACTACCACCACCACCATCACCAAACCGATAAATCACATGGCAAGTCACACAGCAAGAGCACCAATACACCGGCATGCAACATACCCTTTATACGCTACTGTGAGTAAGAGTATAAAAGGGGGCTGCACGGAACCCTCAAACGGAGTCGTCTTAGATAGATTTCTCCTTAAGAACAACGACGACTCTGGTAGAAAAGAAGACTTATCTTTCAGATCCATTTTCGAGCGTATTATTCGTTGCATAATTAAGTTGCAGCCTGCATTGTTCACGAATGAGTATTATAATAGAAGCAGCAGAAAAGATTTCAATGGGCCTGATATTTTTTTCCGCATATCACGATATCGCAGTACGATCGATCTAATCATTCATTCTTGCACGTTCCGATCATTACTGTTTGCACTTTTGTAGCTTAATCTAGGTGCACGTGTTTTAGAATAATTGAGCGCATTTCTCGCATCCATTCCTGTATGATCGCGAAGCGATGTTATCTGTTGCAATAATGTAGTCTCCGTGAGACACGATTTAAACAGCTGTAGCAAATATTTCAATACAATTGTCGGAACAAATATTTGCCATCACGGTTCAGTGTATTCGATGCTACGCTATGAAAGTTTTCAAGATTTCCATTTATGTAGATGCTTGTTTGAAACGATTGGCTTTGGTCGTGCGTGCGTTTCGCGAAATTATGCGGAATGTTTGGTTTCATCGTTTCAGGTAGATCTGATACGATCGAAGGAAAGCATCAGCCCGTTAACGATTAACGGCACTACCTCGGCCGAGACTTCTGTCTAACGAAAGCAACGGCTCATTGGGAACGAACGTTCGCGATCCTCCTTCGAACGGCTATTCGATCCTTGAACGATTCCGAAGATTCTGTTTTTCTTTGGCCCCGACTAATCGTTACAGAGCACGTTTTAATTTTCATCGTGCACGTTATCGTGCAGCCAAGTTAAACGCGATCATCGTGGTGAAGAAAATTGTTACATGGACGATAAACGAGTCAAGGCGTACAGATCACTTTGAAACTGTATGAAAATGGAAACACCGACAGAAGAACAATTTTTATTTCATTTCCTGGGAAATAAAACTGGGGTATCTTGTCTTATCGCGTCGTAACTTGGACGAGTGCAATTATTAACGAGTACCACTAACTGGGTACCTAGATGTAATCGATATGAACCTATTATCCGTTGACAAACAAAAGAAAGAAAGGAAAAAAGCGCACACCACTGAAATTTAAAGTAGAATGTCCTAGATTTAAGATTCGATTCATTGGTAAGTGAACGCGTGAATTGTCATCGCTGAATCTCGAATCTATTCTTATCAGTGTGCTATAAGTATTATACTTATAATCTAGCGATTCTATGGATTAAGTAGTTTCTGCCCATAGTGAGTACGCCAAGAAAACCCCTTTGATATATCGACGTTTCCTTCGAGGGATGTCTCGCAGAGGAGCTTGGCCGACACGCGTTCCCGATCGCAGAGTGAAAGCGCCAAAAAGGGTTGTCGGTGTAAACAAAAATAAGCGACGAGATTCATTTTTGTCCAACACCAACGCAACGCTAGTAACTCTAGTTCCATTGATTTTTATTCGAATTATTAAAGAGTATTTTCGGAATGTTTTCGATATACCGGCCAACAGCGACAATATATTAATTATACCATAAATGTATAGCATCTTTTTTACGCTGATAACAGTGAAATGTCACTTTCGCGTACAAGGACACTCGCACGGGAGGATTAATTTGTCTGTAGAGAAAAGTTTTCCATGTTTTCTAATCGAAATTCTAGCCCTGCTAAATTTCCATGCGTAACGCCGTCCCTTGAAGGATATCCTTCTTGTTTGAGGAAAAGGAAGCGGACAATGAGATTTTTATCGTACTGCAGTCTTTCAGATAGTGTGTGCAACGTCCCGATATTTAAAAATTTAAGCGAACATTGCGCAGGTCCGTTGCACGGACAAGCTGTTGTTATCCTTCTCCGCCAATTTTCCATCGACGCAGACTGACGGAGACAGGACGATTAGTGGGAAAGGATTAAAAAAGAATATTTGATACGATGAATTTTTTAATGACACGTTATCCAATTATCACACGTCGAAATAAAGTTCGAGGTTTTGCAAGTCCACTCGAGAGCTATGTGATAAGTTCGTCGGTACGCGAAGATGTAGCACTGTAAATTGACGAGAAAAAGGCAAGGGACAACAAGCCTTGTACGACATACATTGGAACACCTCTATCGACATACGTATACATACGGCGAAGTACGAAACGAGGCAATACTTTGTGTAGATGTTACGTGTGTTTGTATATATTTAAGAAAGAAAATCATTCGCAGTTCTTTATACGCTCGCAATGGGAGAAAAAGTTATTGGTTTCGGCTAGTTACATGCGGGCTAGTTACATCCCGATCCCGTTCGGGATACAATGTTTTATTGTACACTACGGGCTACGATCACCGTTTTAGTATTAACTGGTTGTGATTAGATAAAAGAAACGAACATTTCATGGACAGTGTATACTTTCTTACAATTAGCCAGAGAACGATTATTCGCGCGTTTCGTTTAACTTGAAAACTCGAACATTTTTGTAAATCATGCGCGAAATAAAGCAAGCCCTGTTTCGAAAGGTGCGGATAAAATTTTAACAAAACGGTAAATACGTACACGTGATACGATGTTCTGCTAGAAAATATATTTTCGATTTGCATATTTTTTTAAAACCGCTAACACATATGCTGCAACTTTTTATAAAAATATCACGAGAGCGCTTTGTATCGCGTATTAGTTAGATCGAACTACCTGTCCAGCGTATCTGCAACGGAATGAAACAATTCCGTCAGACGTTTATCGAAAGTGAAAAATATTAGCCGAAACAGAAATTAGAGCGTTTTACTTCGGATATCGAGGCAGCATCGAAGAACATTTTGTTACGGCAAGCAATAAGCTTAGTAAGTATATAGACACATCGGAGTCCTCCATCCCTAACCTCTTATCGAGTATCGATTAATTTCCGTCACTAATAAAAATATGCGTAACAATTTTTAATAACTTTCGTATAGGAAGTATACACGTTTCAAACACTTCATTGGACGTGTTGGAAGTGTATATATATATAATGTATGAAGAACCGAAGAGACTCATTGCGAGTAACAATGTATATAATCAGCTGCAATCATATAATTCGCTGCCATGCATGCAATCGATGTATTAGTCCTCTTTAACGGAATTGCTGATAAATTCTAATTAAAAAAGAAAAAGTACAATATCGATTATGTGTAAAAGTTATTTCACACAAGTTTCACCAAACATTTTGCATGTCTACGTACTTTTTTCTTTTTTCTTGCAACACTTTGGTTTCCGAACGAAATTTAGAAATGAAACTCTTTTTACTCACGTTACACAAAAATATCCACCATATCATTTATTTTCTATTTATACGTTTCTAAAAACTAAATACAGTTCGCAATTTATAAAATAACCGTAGTTTTGAGATAATTACTGCGTGCAGTTGCAGGAACACACATTTGAAATCGGAGTCCCCATTTGAAATTGAATCAGTATCACCATATATGTAGTCATCGTGCCGAGCATCTAACAGCGAGAAGCGAAAATGAAATAAGGGTCAGTTGTCATATACGTGCAGGGATGGAATTATTTAATCACGTTTGCTTACCAACTGAAGAAATGTATTGTCTAATATGAAGTACCCGTTCGCTGTAAATCTCACCTTTCGATGTAGTAACTGAAGTGAAAATTGCTCAAGCTAGAAGAAACGTAATGTTAGGCAATGTCAACGTTAAAAGGATCACGTTCTTTAGTTGTCATTCACCTCTACTTTCATATCTTCATTGATCGTACGATTTAATAACATGTGTATAATATTTCCAGTCTTTTCGACCTGCAAGTGAGTGTACTGAATTACCTAGAGTAATTATTTTCCAGGCAGAAGGTTCAAATTCCTACCTCATTTACGACTTTGGTGACATTAGAAGTTAGCAAAGCAAGTGGATACAAGGACAATATTACCCAAAGTAAAGTATTTATCAAGATCAAGAAATTCAAGGTTTCATTTCTAATCATTAATGGTTGGAAGAAATAATACATGTTGTACAATAGTGTGAGAAAAATAAACGGAAGTCCAATGAGGATAGGCAAAGAATAAAATTGGGAAATTTCGTTGGAAATATCGCAAACGAGATTATATATGTTTCGAATTTGAACAAGAACATGAATTGTTGGAAAACTAATGAATATGCGTCGACTATGATATAAGCTAATATCATCGACCCTATTTTGATAAAGGCTTTGTATAACGCAATTTAGGTTCACAAAAATTGCATTTATCACAGTAAGCACGAAGAAATATTGAATGAAAAGCAAGCTCACAACAGTTGCAGGTAAGATATTTGATATCAATAAAATAGAATTATTATTGACCAACAATTCGGATACTGCAATGATGACACTTAAAATCAAATTGAGCAAACAGACAATAAGTAGTACACATAAAATATGTTTTCGATTCAGTGGTTGTTGCAATCGACGTAATGAATCCTCGATAAGAATCAAATAATTTCCGATTCTTATAATAGCTGATTGATTTACACAATAACACAGTAAAATCGAGCAAACTACAAAGCTGCCTAATATCCCTTGTAAAGTTTCAATGATTGTTGTTATGATTGTTTTGTAAGTATATTCTAAACTGATTATGAGCGGTACCGTTATGCAATTTGATGCGATTATAAGACAGCTAAATAACAAGTTATAAAATACACCCACTTTAGAGTCCACGAATAATACGTCTTCCAAGCACTTCTTTGAATTTCCCCGTTTATTTATAGAAAACGTTGCAAGACCAACGAGTTTGTAGAAAAGTAAAAGTAACAAACTTATTCGGTATATATTTTTAGACGAATATGATTTATACGCCATTTTTCCACGTTCAAAATTGAACATATTATTAATAACATATATTTTCACTTATTTTTCAATAAACATGGAATTTATAGATAATGCACTTTCTTTTTTTTATACGTAGATAAATCAAACTTTTCATATGTAGAAGAATCAAATATAGCTCTATTCTCGGTACCGTTTGTTTTATAGTACAAAATGTGAAAAACGGCATTAAATATTAAACTGCATTATAAGTATATGCAATTACTTTGCATGCAATAAACTTGATATACAATTTATTACTAGTACTACATACACGATCGATCCTAATTGAATAAAGTGCTGATACTTATAAACATAAACATTACCATAGAAATTACATGAAAAAATTTGTGAAAGCTCGAGCCAGGCTATGCAAATCTACAGTAAATTTTTTATTTAAAATATTTACTTTTTGACATTTAAAGAAAACATTTATCTCTCCAGTAAATATATATACTTAATATGCAACATTCGTTCATTTTTTAAAGGACACTAGATCTTAACGCAATTATTAAAAACATATTAATCAACTAAAAATATAGAATAAGTCTTTGAACAGAAAATATTTACCACTTTTGTTTTCAATGCACTTCAAAGGCATTTCTTCGAATTAATGTCAAAATAAATAAGATATACAGTAAGTAATCAATTAGAAGAATGGTTTTCTTATCATCCTACGAGAAAGAATACATCAATTTGTTTTTATTAACAATATCATTTTTACAGCATCCTTTTTTTCGACAAATGTTTACAAAAGTACATTTATGTAGATAGTGATTACTTGAATTAAATATAATCCCCTTAAAGAGAAATAATGAACGAGGTTAAACGATTCTTGTGCCTTAAATTCCGGAACGTATTGAATACAAATAAATGTGTTTATTTTTAATTATTTGTCCATATCAAAATTACATTACAATCGTAATTTTATAACAATAAAAAGCTGCACCATTTCAACGAACTTTTATGGTTAAAAACTCGTATTCAAAACGAATGCTTTACCCATTTCAGATTACTTACAAGTTATTATGTAGTTTGTTACATTAATCCCCAAAAACTTTAAAATGACTATTTTTCTAATTTGTACAATTCAGTAATAGTAGCAGCTTTAAGAACATGTCTGAATTTTTAGAAAATTATTAACTGTATTCAACAAATACTTTATACAAATAAATGATAATTGGCATCTTTATTCTCGCTTAAATGATTGTTCCAATTATGCCTTTAAAGTGCCATGAAAACACATAATTGAAAATGCGAAACGTTAATCCCAATAAGTATTATTAAAATCCTGGTATGAAATCAACGAATCATACAATTAATTATAATCCTCTACAGCGTATTATAGTCTTTCCCATATAGAGGAGTATTGCAAGTTTCGTTTTTTGCTTCTTTTATATATACATTGGTATTTGTCGTTACTTAAATAGACAAGTTTAGCGTGAAGTTAAACAACGATGACACTTATATAATCTTCAGAAATATTTTTTTTCCTTTTTGGTATTGCCTAACGATGCAAAAGGAATTATAATTATGAAAGAAACATATTATCAGATAAAGTAAATAATTATAATATCTACTCTAAATCTTAAGTGCTCTATAATTAAACAATTTTCTTAACAGAGTAAGGATTGTTCTTTCATATAGTGGGCTTCCTAATTACAGATATTGCAAGGAAGATGAGTTATGATAACGAGAAAATTTACTAGAAAACCCGTTAAATAAAATATAGTGTCGGCATTTATCCAAAAATCATATTCAAGTGCGAAAAAGCGATTTCTTTTTCTGCTATAAGACACTCGTGTCATGTAGTGTACTACATTAGTACAAAAGAAAATAAGTATAATTTTCACATTGTCAGATACAAAAAGTCACTATGTTACTTGGCCTCTGACTCTTTTGGAGTCTCGCTCCATGTAGGCACTTCTGATTTAACTTCAACAGGTGCATCTGTATCTGGTTGACTACCGCTTTCATCTACAGGTGAGTCTTCTGATATGATTGCATCTATAAATATTATTGCATTAACAGGAAGACGAGTACTTTTTCACAAAACAATTGTATTTCATAAACTCTGCTTAACACGTTAATTATCGTACTAATGGAGGTTTACATTAAACACAGTTTTCACCCATATACAAATATATATAAAATTTTTAATTCAATTAAACATGGAAATTAATACAACGTTTAACATATTAGTTATAATACAAAATTCATATATTTACCTGGACAAGCAGGGTCAGACATTAAAGAAAATACTTTTTCTTCGGGCATATCCTTTGTTAACTCTTTGAAATGGACAACTTGGTCCGAAAATGATTGCCAAAACGATTGCCCTTCGGGTATGGTAAACATAGCCTGTATATTGTTCGGTGAAAGGAAAAATATAATATCCTTATCTATTCAAGGCATACAATTACATACAGATAGATTTCTTTCAAAAATAATCGTACAACAGATGCGTTATGCATACATTATACATGCATCCCGTTAAACATAATTACCTTAAACTTGTTGTATATGTGTTCAGACTTTTGTCTAATTTGTTCTGCTTTTTGTTTAAAAATTGCCTATAAATAAAATTCAAAACAAAATATACAAAATTGTTATATAAGAAAGTCTATCTCGTATTTTCAAAGAAAAAAAAAAAAAATAATACCTCTTCTTCTTCGCTTAATTTCCAATCAGTCAAATTACCGATATATCGCCGCAACTGAAATTTGTTAAAAGCTCAATTAGAATATATTATGAAACATTAATTACAAAGAATAGCATAACAATTCATATTTTTTTACCCTTTTAACAGTTTCCACAATGTGTGGATGTTTTTTCAACATCAAAGGATCAATTGGAAGTGATAACATATCATCCATTGCTTGCAAACACTTATCCGGATTTGCTCGATCTAATCCCAAGTTAGATTTAATTTGAGCATCCAACTGTAGAAGTTGTGCTTCTATACGAAGCCATCTGAAATTAATATGCATAGTTAAAATTTAAAATTATTGTCAAACTAATATTATTCTTATTACCTTAGTTTATTTGTTTTTCGATGAAGTGCTCCATCTTTCGCTAATAAACGCTTTTCTTCATCTGGGACGTGTACATTAAAATCCAAACAATCTTTTACTTGTTCCGGTAAAATTTCACCACTTTCTAATTGTGCTTTCAACTTCATAGCATTTCTAGCAGTAGACCACTCCCATTGTGCTCGAGCCTTTTCACTTTCGAAGGATTTTGGCTTATCCATGTCTAACTTAATTCCTACATATTCACCGGCAAATGTTAACGCCAAAAGGAATCGTCCTGGCGCGTCTGAAGATGCTGTACCAGAAACCACAGTTCCTTCCAATATGGGTGTTTCACCTAAATTATTTTTTTCTGTGAAGTATATAGCATTTAAATCCTAATAATTTAATTTCAATTATATATATTACTTTTATATACTTACTTTCCAATGTAACTCTCTTTTTATGCATTACGCTAGGTGTTACTTGGTCGCTAGAATCTTCAATTTTAACTTTAGGACGGCCTCTTCCATGTTCTATAATATACACAATGTACAATTAACGAAAGTTCTAATAAAAATTTTTAAAAACTTCAATAAAACATAAAACGCATCAATATATACCATTTTTATCTGTTGCAGTGTCTGTTTCTTCCGAGCTTGAGAAGTCAGCAAATCGCTTAGGTTTAATTTTTCTACCGCTACGACTTACAACTTCTTTTGGTGACTCCTCTCCTTGAGAATCCAATGCAGTATCCTGTTTTGCTGAATCACTTGTAGATGCAGATAGAGACTTTGCTTTTCCGCGTCTTTTTTTTACTTCAGGTGTATCCTAATTTTTCGAAATTTTTTTAATATTACATGATGTTATGCAACATAATAAATTCATCTCTTAGAATACAAATTTTATATGAATGTAAGGAACAATCGCACAAATTAATCAATCTCAATAAATATTTGTCGGCAATTCCTAAATTGTTATTGGAGTGCTCAGATCAATAATTGTTTTCTTGTACAATACTGTAATGATGAGCAAAAACTCCTAACGAAATATATGCATGTGTAAATTAATATATAAATAATTAAATACAAATGTATTACAGGATTAGTAGCAGAAAGAGTCCTCCTTTTCAAAGATTTCTTTTTCTCCTCCTCATCTATAACAAGAGATCCAGATTCCATATCACTATCTGTAGCACTAACTGTTGGTAAATTTGTATCACCTTCTTTTCCTGCTTCTTCACCAATTCCAGCTTCTTTATTTATGTAATAATTATGAATAAATATTAGTATTTCATATCTTTAAATCTTTTACTGCATAAATATATAAAGTATTTACCTTTGAGGTCAGCAAGATTCGATGCTTTATTTCTATCATTTTTAAGCTCTTGCTCTAATTGTAATAAACCTTCATGAAAAAACTTTCTTCTAATTGGCTTGCCAAATTTTGCTTTATTCTCTATATAGGTATATAACTCTTCCACTTTACATACAGCACTAAGGTAAGATATTCAAAAACCTTAATGTCTTTCTAAATTTTATGCATACTGTTATGTTCTTATAGTTCTTTATATTATCTTAATACAAAGTTATTATATGTATATAACTTCTAAATTATTATATAAATTGTATGGAATAAAACATAAAAATTGTTACTTACGTTTCTGCTGTACCATAAAAGTAAACACTATATTTTGTATTTTTGGAATTAGGATCAATAACTTTCTCAACCTAAAAAAAAAAAGGTAAAGAAATGTTTAGAAATATTACCTTATAATATATTTTTCTATTGTAAGAATGCAATATATATATTCATCTATAGATTACAAAGGAGGCTATATCCAACTAAATAATTTCTTCCTAAATGAAGGTAAAAGAAATATTTTTAATATTAAAATGACATTAATTTTAAGTAATTATGATAATTTACTGAACATGAAACATCTTTTTCCTTATGTGTAAACATAGTTTTAGTACAATATATTAATATCAATATCGTGCCTTTGGACACCACAATATGAAAAAAATTATAAAATTAAAATTAAAAATGTTATTATCATTAGTATTCACAACATGAATGCTCATTATTACGAATTTGGTTAAAGTTATAAAAATAATTAAAAAGTATATTCGACTTACTTTTGCTGGCCACGGTGGATAACCTCGAACTTTTGCAAAAACCTTGTCACCCGCGAAAAATTTCTTATGAAGCTTCACCATGTCGACGATAAACTTTTTCAAGTTCAGAAATAAACAGCAAATATTATCTTTATTTCTACAACGCACGACGTATTATAAGATTGATTAATTTTCAAGAAACATTGAACAAAACATCGCGAAAGCCACCATTTGCACGATATAATATCGAAAACACGCAGAATAAGACGCTGCGCGCCAATTCATGAGTCTTTAGTTACGAATACCACGTATCTAAACAACGTACATTGAAAACTCTTGAGGGGAAACTAAATCTCTTATTGGTTGTTTTCGACGATATCGATAATACATTCATAAATTACTTTTGTTTTAAAATCTTTGATTATATTAACTCTTTAAATTATTTAATACATGATAAAACACTTTCATTTATAGATAAAATAGTTATATACCTATTTTCTGTATATCCTTTTAATAAGGTATTCTTTACTTATTGATTATTGTATATCTAAACAGACAAAAATTTCTTATATATAATATCAATTACGAAAATAGTAAAAATAAACAAATTTAATAAATCTATTCACATGTATATTTTATATAATATATAATGTCAATGTAAATAGATAATCCAGGTATTATCTTTGCAATGGTACAGATCTGACGTTTTACGTTGCCTTTACGAACACGTGAATGAATTAGAATTTAATGGATATGGGTTGTCTGTCAAATGTATTAATGTTGACTCGATATTTATTGTAAAAAAAAGAGGAACAAGGTGTAATAATACTTCGCGGATATGTGCAATGTTTCTGTTGGTATTAAATATATTTTTACAAAATTCTCATCTAAAAAACTTAAACAGTCTGTTTCTTAAAATGTAAGTATATTTCTTTTAATTTGCTTGTAATGCATCCTGCGAAACTATTTTCTTTTTCATTTTGTAATTCTTCATTTTTTTTACAGCATGTATTGCGATTCTTTTTATACACATCTACATGTGCAGCAAATTCTTATGATTACTTCTCTTTCCTATTGTAATTATCGCTACAATTATTTTTTACATAAAAACTTAGTTCATCAATACTATAACTTGTAGTATTTACTAATATTTGCACTACTAATAAAATTTCTTTTTCCTGCAAAATAGAAATTTGTAGTAATTTTAATATCCCATGCTGCAACTATTTTTTCCTATTTATTAGCATTTACATAAATTTTGTATTCTTAAAATATCTAAGCATTCTCTTAATAAAACCAGCTGTTCTTTGTGTTAAAATATGTTTTTATTTTCTACTTTAAAATGTCATGATGTGTTTATTACAATAAATATATTTGAATCATATATAATAAACAGATGAATATATTGTGCACATGGCAGCAATATATGATGTTATAATTAAAGATGCCAGTTCTTGAGAAGTAACGCTTCCTTTGAAGTGTTCAAGTTCAAGAGGCCTGCTAAGGCACAATGAAAGCCATTGTATCAATTACATTGATCGTGCTACTATATGGGATAAACTCAGTGCCCATCAGTGCCATTAGAATATGTGCCAGCAGGAAAAAAAATAATGAAAATATTTCACTAAAACAAAATACACCCAGTGTACCTGAAGATATATTCAATGACAGTAATGTAATTCATACTGCTGTGAGTTTTAAGTATTTATATACTTTTGTAAATAAATTGGGTCTATAAATAAAATAATAATTAAATTTTTTACAGAAGGATGATAATATTAAATATGAAAACTGTACCAATTTTTGCCATGCATTATGGCAGGAAGATAAGACTGCAAGTGGAACAGAAATTATCATTTTATCTCAAGGTATATATGAAATTCTTTTCATTCAATAATATATAGATTATGATTACTGTACCTTTTTATATTTAATAATTCAGGTTGTTGGAAACAGTCTGGTGAACAAAAATGTGAAACAGCAGAATGCATTGCTTTTCAACACTCAACTAAAGCATTGAACAATACAAAATTTTGTTGCTGCCATGGAGATTATTGTAATCTTAACATCAATAATACTAATATCTCATATTCTGAAAACAATGCACATAGTTCTATTCCTGCAGAAAATAATCAACCAAGTAAAGTTTTGTGATATAATAAATGTTCTGTACCGACTTATAAATTTATCATAATATTATTTTATAAAATCTTACAGCAACTGAATATTTAGAACAATCAGATTCTGGGAGATGGATTGTTATCATAACAAGCATTCTACTGTGCATATTATTAGTAATATGTATTGTAGCTTCAATGGTATATCGTGTATATCATACTAATATGTTAACAAGATTAGGAAAACCACTTTCTTATACAGATCAGTTTATGGATAGTACGGCACTAAGAACTGGTACTTATACAGTAGATCATTTGAAACTTATAACAATTGTAGGTATGTTCTTTGCTAATTAAGCTGTTAACTTATAATGTAACAAGACTTTTTGACAATATAATGTACGATATAATTTTAGGTCAAGGACGTTATGGATCTGTGTGGCAAGGCAGTATGGGAGATCAAGATGTTGCTGTAAAAATATTTCCATCACATTATCGTAATTATTTCCAAAATGAAAGAGATACTTATTGTCTTCCCTTCATGGAACACCCATCCCTTCTGAGTTACTATGGTTAGTATTATTCCCTTCTTTTTTCTTTTGTTTTTGAACGCTATTTTATTATTTATTGAAATATAATATTAAAACCTATTCATTTTTATTTAGGTATAGATGAAAGAGTTAGCATGGAAGGCAGTGTTGAATATCTTTTAGTACTTAGTTTTGCACCAGGTGGTACTTTAACAGATTTTTTAAGAACTCATACAGTCGATTGGACCACATTTTGTAAAATAGGTCTTTCTATGGTGAAAGGACTTGCTTACTTACACACTGACATACATAAAGGTGGTGAGTAAAAGTTATAAGAAATGCTCTAGTTTTTAAAAAGTTAATACAATTAACTTAACTAATACAAACTTTAACTTTAACTAATACAAACTTTTAAAAAGTTAATGCAATTTTACAGATAAATTCAAGCCATGTATTGCACACAGGGATATCAATTCAAGAAATATATTAATCAAAGCTGATGGTACTTGTTGTATATGCGATTTAGGATTAGCTGTTCAAATTTCTGGTTCTAAATATTATTCAAATGGAGAAGCACAACATGCTGAAATAAAGTCTATCAATGATGTAAGAAAATAATTTAAGTATAAAAGATATAAAACAAATAAGATAATTTATGATTATACTTCTGATTATTAAATTAGGTCGGTACTTTAAGATATATGGCACCAGAAATATTGGAAGGTGCTGTAAATTTACGAGATTGTGAAAGCTCATTAAAACAAATAGATGTTTATGCAATGGGTCTAGTGTTATGGGAGCTAGTTTCAAGATGTTCAGATATTTACGTATTAGGATCAGAAGTACCCCCTTATAGACAACCATATGAAAAAGAAATTGGTCTTCATCCAACATTTGAACAAATGCAAGTTCTAGTTTCTCGTAATAAAGCAAGGCCTTTATTAGAAGGTAATTTAGTAGATAGGCCAGGAGTACGTTTGATTAAGGAAACAATGGAAGATTGTTGGGATGCAGATGCAGAAGCTCGATTAACCGCTCTATGTATAGAAGAGCGCCTATCAGAATTACAATCACATAGAGGTAAACTTCATTGTATTATTACAATGTAGAGAGTTGTTGTGATGTAAAAGAAGAAGATAAACGAAAAGAAAAATAATTCGTGAAATTCCAGTAACAATGCATTTCATTGATGGAAGTCCAATGGTAAATTCCCATTGCACCCTAGTGCCTTCAACTACAAACAGCCTTTATAGCGAATCTTCGCATCACGACAATGTCCATATCTCTCAACATGCATCGCACACTGTACAAGACAGTTCTAGTAACGAAGGCGGAATTGTTGAAAATTTGGTAACTTTATCACTTTCTGAAAGCATTATCCATGAGCACAGCTGTAAGTATTAATATTGCATAGTAGATTTAAGTATTCACTACATTCAGTGTTCTATATAACTTTCTATTATATTTTAGTTAAAAATTCAAATGAAGTAGCAATATATAATCATACTCAGACTCTTCAACCGTATCAAGGACGAAATCCTTGTATGGAGAGAAATTTAATGTTACAGTCAGATTCACTTGAAGATTTAGGGTGCAATGGTAATGTACTCGTTGATAAATCTATGAAACATGCGTGTAATGATCAGTACAGAATTGTATCTGAAGCACAAGGACTTGTTTCTCACGATTACTTAAGTCAACATACAACACAATTAACACAATTAAGGCCAGCTACGCCTATACCATATGTTCAAAATGTTATTTCGGATGATGGGACATCATCGTATGGTAAACGAAAACAGACAAATATGCATGAGGTTTGTCCGCAAGACAGTCCTAGAAAAAAATTGTTCGGATGGTCGAATTTTAAAAAACTACTTGTTAACAAAAAAATGTGTCCATACAATAAGTATCAGATAGATCGAGAGGATTCTAAATCCAATTTATTGTCAAAACAGAACGTACAGATAAAAACTGTAGAGACTAATGTAACAATATCACCAGCAGGAAAATATGTCAATGGTATTATTACCAAAACACCTACTTTTACTTCTGCGCTAGATAAAAATGATAAAAATGCTATACAAATTGGTAAACAAAAATTTGATAATGATAATAATACAAATACTCGACCATCTACTTTACCGCTCGTAAGTTTAAGGAACAAAAAAAGTGAGAATATCAGTAGACAAGAAAGTATCGATAAGTTCAACGAAGTTTTTAACGTAGGATCTAATGTAAATGTATTAAAGGATCCACATATGAGAATAAAAACTCCGGGAGATTTACCACCTTCCGTACGAAAAATTCGTGGTCGTGGACAATCAACTGCTAGATTTTCTCTTTATGACGATCGTATGATGTGCAATATTTTAAGTGAGGAAGACGATCGAAATGATAAAGCCATTTGGAACTCGGTACCATTTGGAATGGATTATGGAGACAGCGATGACAAACATTCACCGACTAAATTTAGCACCAAAAACGTTACTTGCTTCTAATCGAATATAGTGCTTACATATTTGTAAAGGTTTTTAGAAATAAGCGTAAACAGGGCTGTATTATATCTGCAGCTTGAATATGTGTATGTACAGAAAAAATTACGTAATAATAAGACAGATTTTATACTCTTAATGAGAATGCATTATGAAAATTCAAATATTAAAGAAAATACAGAAAAATAAATAAAAAAAAGCACCGCAAAATGTACTCAAATAATATTAAGTCATTAAAGGGTGTATTCAGTAATTTATACTAATTATTTGATCCTTATAGGTATATTATATACTTGAAGGATCTTTTTTCTTTTATAACAAATATCTATTCATAAATGTTATATCAATGTTAATATTAATGTTTCATATGTTCGAATTAACAGTGAAAAATTCACTAGGAATGTATTTTGATACACATAGTAAGTGTACATTATAGTCCCTATTATCTGCACTGTAGTTACCTTAAATGTTTATAATTTTTATATAAATTGCGCATAGTTATCCCCCAAAAAATCGATATCAATTTTTTATGGAGATATATGAAAAAGATAATTGTCTTTAACATAAAATTTTTTTAATTTAAATTTTATCTATATTATCATCAAAGTTAAATAATATACATGTTATATGCATTAAGAAAAGAATTATAAATTCATTCATTATGATGTATAACTATCTTTTTCTTGTTTAGGCACAATATACATTTCTTAAATATGACAAATTATGATTCATACATATAGGAATGGATCACAAGATATGATTACATGATATTAAGAACAATGTAAAAATGTACTTTACATTTGAATGGAAATTACAATTGTCTCAGCACAAAATTCGTACTTTCCGTGGGCTCAATGTAAATATTTGTAGCATATAAACATTTTAATATATGAATTAAATAAGCTTGTTATGTTTTATTTTAGTAAACTTATAATCGTATGTTTATGTGCAATGATGTGCACAATCGTGTGTGCACTATTTAAGATAAATCATAATATAACAATAATGTGAAAAAATAATGAAATATATAATTATACGAAAAATAAAATAAAAATTTCTCTAGAATTATTTGTTACTCAATCTTAACATCATAGGATTAGAATTTTAATGATTGGGAAATAAGTACAACTCGTTACAACTATATCCAATTCTGTTTGAATGTTGGATGTGAAAGTTTTTGGTATTTAACAATAGTATTTCAACTATTTACGTATATTAGAAAGTAATTAGTTATTATGTCTCTGATAACAGTTATAAGATGCAATGTCAGTTTAAAATTATTATTGTGTTATAGTTCTTGCATTTCGAAAGTAAGGATTTTAACCTAAAATTTAGGTTATTAGATAATTACTGAAAATTATCAATACAATTAATATCTTTTATTATCTCACGAATAGGGCAGTTTACGGTTTTCGTCTTCATTTTCAAAATATGCAGAACATAAATCTTTGGAAAAAATTCGAAATATTGGTATATCAGCACACATTGATTCTGGAAAAACCACCTTGACTGAACGTATATTGTTTTATACCGGAAGAATAACTAAAATGCACGAGGTAAAAGAAAAACAATTTTAAAATGTACTATATTGTTATTTAAATTGCTTAAAAGATAAATGTTTTCTTCCATTTCTTTATATAAAATATTTACAATAGGTTAGAGGTAAAGACAATGTTGGAGCAACAATGGATAGCATGGAATTAGAAAGACAAAGGGGCATTACAATTCAATCTGCTGCAACTTATACATTATGGAAGGATCATAATATTAATATTATTGATACTCCTGGTCATGTTGATTTTACTATAGAAGTAGAGCGAGCTTTACGTGTTTTAGATGGTGCTGTACTTGTATTATGTGCAGTAGGTGGTGTTCAATCACAAACATTAACTGTGGATCGTCAAATGAAGAGGTATAATATACCTCGCATAGCATTTATTAATAAATTAGACAGAATAGGTGCTAATCATAATAGAACCTTAGATCAAATAAGAGGAAAATTACATCTTAATGCTGGATTTATACAATTACCTATTGGTTTAGAAGCTAACAATAAAGGGATAATAGACTTAATTTATCAGAAAGCCTTATATTTTGAAGGAGATTTTGGCGAAGTTATAAGAGAAGATGAAATACCATCTAACATGAAAACAGGTATAATTTTATAAATAGAAATATTATATTTATTAACATTTTAGTGAATACTATTTATTCCAATCAAATTAAATAAACATATTTCATATGAGTAGAAGTACAAAATAGAAGACAAGAGTTAATTGAATATTTAAGTAATGTTGATGAAAAACTTGGTGAATTATATTTAAATGAAATGCAAATACTTGAGAAAGATATAATTGATGCAATTAGGAGATGTTGCATACAAAGAACCTTTGTACCAGTATTAGTTGGAACTGCATTAAAAAACAGAGGAATTCAACCATTGTTAGATGCAGTTATAACCTATTTACCACATCCTGGAGAAGTGGAAAACTATGCACTTGGAATTAATAAGTAAATTCTTTTTCATCATTTCTGTTGCTTATTAATTAACCGTTAAATTGCTCTTTATTTATATGGAATAATTAATTTACCATTTATAGAGATGAAACTACTAATATTCTGTTATGTTCTGAAAGAAGTAATAAACATCCTTTTGTTGGGTTGGCATTTAAATTGGAAAGTGGTAGATATGGCCAATTGACTTATTTTCGTTGTTACCAAGGAATGTTGCACAAAGGAGAGGTTTTATATAATACAAGGACAAAGAAAAAGGTTTGTATATTTACGTGTAATATAATAGTGATTAAACTATGAAATTTTTGAACTAACACATTGTTATTTAGGTTCGAATTCAAAGATTAGTCAGACTTCATTCAAATCAAATGGAAGATGTACCTGAAATTTATGCTGGTGATATTTTTGCCCTGTTTGGTATAGATTGTGCATCAGGTGATACATTTGTTGGCAATCCTAAACTAAATTTATCAATGGAATCTATTTATGTACCTGAGCCTGTAGTATCTATGTCTATACAAATGAAAAATACAAAAGATCGAGATCAGTTTTCAAAAGGTGTTGCACGATTTACGAAAGAAGATCCTACTTTGAAATTTCATTATGATGTAGATAATAAGGTAAGGTTAAATTATACAAAAAATTGCGGAACAACATATTACTACAGATGAATTTGAGGATACAGTGCAGGATATAATATACAGTGTATATTGTATTTTAGGAATCTATAATATCTGGAATGGGAGAGTTACATTTAGAAATCTACTCTCAAAGGCTTGAACGTGAATACGGCTGTCCTGTTATACTTGGAAAACCAAAAGTTTCATTCCGCGAAACAATACGTGAGCCTATAGAATTTGATTATCTACATAAAAAACAATCAGGAGGGGCCGGACAATTTGCTCGAGTTATTGGTGTAATAGAGGTAATAATTTGATGTTTTTTAATTATATTGCGTGGTAATTTGTATTGCAATAATATTTTTTTTAGCCATTACCGTCAAACAAGAACACCGAACTTATATTTAAAGATGAAACAATAGGGACAAACGTTCCAAAACAATTTGTTCCTGGTGTAGAAAGAGGATTTAGAACTACATGTGAAAAAGGATACCTTTGTGGTCATAAAGTAGCGGGTATTAGAATGAGATTACTCGATGGTATGCATCATTGCGTGGATTCTTCGGAATTATCATTCTTTCTCGCTGCACAAGGTGCAATGAGAGAAGTATTTGAAAAAGGGTCATGGCAAATTTTAGAACCAGTTATGACAGTGGAAGTAACCTGCCCTGAAGAATTCCAGGTAAATATATATTTCTGTTCTGCTATCATAAATTGTTTCATGTTTATGTAAACTCTATTATTGTTAAAGGGACAAATCATCAATCAATTAACTAAACGACATGGTATTATATTCGAGACTGACATTAATGACGGATGGTGTATATTAAAAGCAGAGGTTCCATTAAATGATATGTTTGGATATGTTAGTGAATTGCGATCTACCACTCAAGGAAAAGGAGAATTTACGATGGAGTACTCGAGATATACGCCTTGTCTACCAGAAATGGAAGAACGGATAATAAGAGAATATCAAGAAGCGCATAATTTAACAGTGCAACAGAAAAAAAATTAATGAATTAACAAATAGGCATTATTTCTAAGGAATCATTTCACATTTTTCTATATGAAGATTCACAAAATTTATGATGGCATATGATAAAATAAATAAATATATGATAATATAAATATACTATAGATATTATAGTAAATTAGTAATTTGAATGTAAGGAGTTATACTTGTAAAATCTGTGAAAATTTGGAAATTAAGCAAATTTAATTTAAAAAATAATGGATACATAAAAAGTTTTCTTTTATTTAATTTTTTCTTTTTTTATGTTTAAGAAGTAATTCGAAGAATTCGATCTTTTAAGTTTAATGAACTAAGATTTAATTGCTGGAGTTCGTTAATCTCCAAATATTTTATTTTCTAATTATTTTATGTAATTATTATACGTATTTATCACGACACAAAATATGTTGTATATTTAAATTATTAAGCAGATTAAATAATTATGATGCACTTGAAAGTAAAACGAATTATCATTAGACAGAGCTTTAAAATTTGAAAAATCGATTACTGTTGCGATTCTCGAATGAAATCGAGTAGAGTATTGCTTGAATATTGTTTTTAAGATGGCGTCAATGAGGGCGCTCTGATCATTTGCACCCATGCGCTTTGCTGAACTGTGGTCAGTAGCGCAGGAGCAAGTATCGGGAGTAGTTGGTGGGTGTCGAGTTTTTTGTAACATCTTGCCTCGTCTTCTAAAAGACGAGTGGCTGGTACGCTAGGAAAAATACTCGCTGCCGTGCTTCCGCGTATACGTGCCCGAAAAATGTAATATGGCGATGGTCGCGTCGAACATGAGCGGCCACATACAAAAGCAGCTCACTAGAAGTCTCGAGCGAATCCTGGAGGAAGCACACTTGAGCGGCGAACTCAAGCTTAGCGGTCGAAAGCTTAAGGACTTTCCAAAAGTCGGGAAAACAGGTTCTAGCAAGTACAATCTTCAGGATACGGTTATTGCTGGTAAGTTTTTCGGCTTATTATAAATCTTTCTTCTTTTGTTAAAAATGACGTTTGCATAAAAATAAATATGTAACAAAAGAAGAAAAAAGATGGTAGTGTAAAAACAAAGAATATTCGAAATATTTTCTAATCAAGTGCCGTGTGTTCAATTATCTTGAAAAAGTTTGTCTCCATCTTATACTGACTTGTAATAATTAGAGAAAAATGAAAAAATATCAATAGATGATGAGACGTGTCTATACGTCCGCCTGTCTGATTCGATGCAAGTTTTAAATTCTGTCAAAGTTAACCTCGAACACTCGTGTTTATGTCATATTCACGCACGCATGTATGTGGCGCCGAATGCTACCCTGCGAATGTATACAGTCCGTTGTTCAGATTACAGTTGTACCTTTCATTTAGAGCTACAGTACTTAGCGCATAATTTCCTATGTGTTATTTTCTAGAAAACAAATTCGAAATGATGCAAACTTTCTTTGTTACTTGCGAAAGGGGAAATATAAGAACGCAAATAAACTCTTTTTGAAAAGAAATTCTTTTGGAAAAGAGATACGGTGTCCTTTCGCTGGTCTCTGAGTCTAATGACTAATACGAAACACTTAAGCGTTACATAATAGAAGCGCATCTGCATTTACGGTGTAATGCACCATGGTTATGATTTTGTAGCCATTACCAACTATAATCGTTAATACTAGGGTTGGACCGATAAAAGGAACTAGTAAGTAGGAAAGAGAAGGAAAACTCACTTTCTTCTATTAGCTTGAAAAGCATGTAGGCTTAATAAATATAAATGCATCACGATAGTCGTTGGAGTGTGTATAGAACATCGTTTCGCGGACAGCTCCTGTGATTGACATGTTCCTGTGAATCCTGATATTCCTTTTACGAAAACAGTCGACTAAAAGAACATACTGTACGAGGTTATGCATAAGTAAAAGTTCGCGCGTTATCGTGACACACCCGGTGTTTCCTGTTACCACGATAATCGTGTATTCGACAGCCGTTGATACTAGCGGCACTCCGAGGAATTACGTGCGTAGAAGCATAAGAGTACTCCAACTTTTAAAAATGTCAATATCGTTGTCAACTGTCAAGGATTCAATGCTTCGTGTCGCTTGGAAGGAACTTGTGCAAATATAGAAATGCATCGATCCTTCAACCCCGATTTGATTTCAAAAAAGATTTACGACTCGAGCAAAAATGTAACACGATTATTGGTGACTAAAGATGTTTTTGTTTAATTTTGATAACGCGTCTGTATAACGGTCGCGAGTAGCCGCAGCTAAGTGTGCAGCAAAGAAATATCTTTATCAGCGTGGATTACATTTTTCGAGGCCAGATTATCTGAAGTTTGCATCAATCGCATAATATCGTTTATCGAAAGCGTGAGTCCCGGGACATTTGCAAACACATGCAATTACGTGTAGCTATCGTGTAAATCAACGATAATTAAAATTACAAAATTCACGAGCCCCTTAAAAGAATTAAAACGGTGACAATGATTTCGATCGATCATGTACTTTTATTATACTAACTTATTATACTAACTTTTTCCCTTCTTCGATGAGTAACATCGACCCAGATTTCTTCACGGTGACAGTCGATACAGTGGCGTTCATTACTAATATACATTCCTTTCGGCCATAGAATCTACGTTCTTCGAGAAGCGCGTTTCCAATACTCCTGAAGCGCATCGGAACGATGTTTCTTTATAAAGGGTAAATTCACTCGGCGCCATCGATCGAATGTTTTAATCAGGACTCGGTCGGTATTGGCTCGTCACTGGAAAGGAATAATTCGTCGTTGGTGGTTAGTCGTTACGCGTCTCTGCCATCGGCACCGAGTACTGCTTATCGGTTTTCGATGCTGATTTCTCATCTAGCGGAGGGGAAGCTAATTTCGGTCGCTGTTTGTCGATGCTCGGGAAATAATCAATGGTGGGGGTGCATTTATAGCCGTTACCATTTCGTCGGGACATTATCGAACGAAACGACGGCTCGTGTTAAGGCTCCTTGCGACGAGGCACGACGTTGTCGAAAGGGGAAGTAACTTCATTAAGGAACCCCAGGTCAGTTCGCGACGAGGGATATGACTAACTATGTATGTTCCACGTTACACGAATCTATGCCAACTACCGTTAAAACATTAACGACAGGGAAAATTACTCGTAGTCTCTGTCTATATTCTACGCTAACGATTTCTAGTCTGCAGTTCCTCGAACATGCACGGTAAGCCCTGCGGTCTCCATTCACCAGAGAAACCCGTGGGTTTGATATGTCGCTGCTATCGAGGAAAAAGCTGATCTATTGTCCGTGGCGCATAAACGACGTAGTAAAGCAAACGGAACGCGCTGTTCGCGGAGGACCAATCGAGATGGAAAGAGCAAAAGGAAACATATTGGATGCGCGAGAATGGACAGCCATAGAGAAGCCCAGCGAGACGATTATTGCATCGAACAAATTGTTTCCTCGCGGTTCATTCAACGTCGACTATTAACATTTCCACACCCGGCGTCACGTATGCGTGACTTTCGTTGGCAGTAGCCATTTTTCGCGGGCGCTGCAATGGCGCCGTACGTGCTGAAAAATAACCTTTTTTTTTAGGGCAAATATTAATATGGCCAACATAGAGCTAATTTTGTTTTACTTTTCATCTAGGCTGTGTAAATACGAGAAATTCGCGTGAGTATAAATAAAAGATGAGTTCGATTTTTCGTAATACTCGCGAATATATGTACACATGAAATTCGCCGATGCGTGACTTTTGCTGTTACCATTTATCGTTTTACAGAAATAAATCATTTAACAAGCATCACCGGAACGGCATTGGTAAATTGAATACCGGTCCCCAGTGACCCCATGGCAGTCAACGTGTTAAGAAATTGGTGACATAAAACGTAGCGAATATCCCTGGAAGGTATTATTTCGAAAGCACGCAAAGTAACTGACTTGGTGAACGTACGGTCGAGTTAACGCATTGGAATGTCGAACAGAGGGGGCGAGGGTGGGCAGGAAGAAAAATGGATCTCACCCTTTTTTCTTTCTCTCGTCTTTCTCGAAGAAAGCGCGCAACGCACCGTGACATAATCGATAAGAAGCTTTTTCCTTAGGCGGAGCGTATCGCGTACTCTCTATTTACCCACCCGCCATTTCGCCGATTATATAGTCAGGTCTTTGTATTCCGATTCCACCGTCCCAATAGTATAGGTCTTAATGCACGATTATGCGCGAAACGAGGCCTGTCATGGCAGGTATATTTTTATTTTTATTTTTTAAATTTAACGCAATAAGCAATTTGTTCCATACTGTATCAATACTTGTTCGCAGATTACCAATAAGATATACGAAAAACGTACTAATACTGCAAGGAGCTTGGAAGGAGTTACTTGAGAAGGCTCATGGGCAAAAGTATGTCTCTTTGATAGGTATCGTTAGTTTTCCTCTAATAACGATCGACTGATCAATTAAAAAGTTTTGCGTGAGTTCATCCTCGCATACATAAACGATTAGGTTAACCTCTTAATCGGTCGTCAATCACAGCCGCCTGACATCTTTTGAACTGTCTACTATATTCGTATATCGGTATAATTATACAGATTTGGTCCAGTAGCAAACGCGCTAAACGAACTCTAATTACGATATCGTACGTACATGACTGCAAACGTAGCTGCAACGTGCACGCGACGTGCAATTATTCTAATCCTCACCGTTCCCTCGACTGTATCCATCGAGCGAGAATATTGGAGTAGCAGGTGCTCGGATGGAGGCGTACCGTGATTAACGAAAAGAAAGGAGGAATTCGGGTAACCGCGACGATCGAACGGTGGTGCGATCGCATCTCTCTTTCTCTCTCTCTCTCTTTTACACACACACACGCACGCACGGGCGCCCCCCCCCCCCCCCCCCCCCC